TTTTGCAGGAGAGAGATGTCTCTCGATCTCAGTCCCAGCTCTTTTGCGGGGCCCTCTCAATTAGAGCGTGGGGGTCTGTGGCTATTTTTGATCCTATCCTCATTTGTACCACTGTGGCGAACACGTCATTCATTGCCTGTGCTGCCGTGGCCACAGAACAAAGGCCAACAAGGCGAAAATGAGAATCGAATTGGTGAAAGAATCGTGAAGAAAGAGTGTGAAAATCATGTGACGACAACAAAGAAACAGAACCAGAATCAGTATCTGAATCCAAATCGGAATCGGCATCGCACCCAACGTGATTGTGGACATGTGCACATGATTGCGTTGCTGCTGGCACATCAAAGGTTTTGTCTTGGCCGTGCCATCATGGGATTCGCCTGTTCTACCTCAGAAAAGACAAGGCAACAACAGCAACTATGCTGAGAAAAAACAGCGAACCCAAGACAAACAATTCGTAATCGAGCAATCGATGATGTAATTGATGGGATGGGTATGGCAATGGCGATGGCGATGGCGATGGCGATGGCTAATCGAAATCACTTCTGGCTTACCTCTAACAATGGGGATTGGTTTTCCAGAGGCACTAATGGTTGTTCCGGTACTGGTCGTGTTGCAAAATAATACGCAACACTGGCCGCCAAACTACTGAGAGTGATGGTGCCCAGAGTTCCGCCCAAATAATACAGATATCCATCGATTTCGTCCCCTGTGGAAGACAGATTGACACTGGTTAATGCAGCCATTCCAGTATTCTCTTTAGAACTTATAGAATACATAAATAACACTGTCAAATATTTTGATGCTTACAATTCTGAATGAATGCATTTCTTTATTTATTTGTATCCATTCTATTTGAATCAAATTGCTTTGAATAATTATTTATCGGCAATTTAACAACTGCCAATCGTTTCTGTTTCCCATTGATAGATATCTGAGGGTATTTTCCATAGATATTGTCCATTCATTGGAGGCCTGTGTTACATTTCACTACCAACCTACCAATTAATAATATTCTCAATAATTCAAACCTTAAATTGAGCTTCTGTCATTCCTTTCCATTCCATTCCATTCCATTCTATTGAATGAACGATCAAATCAAGGTAACTCAGCGGTAGGCTGTTCGTTTGGCTTTTTACCGAATACAAATTGGGGATTCCACAGCACTACGTGTCCCCTTATTTTAATTATTTATATTATTGAAATGGTACTTACAGAAATATGAAAAGTTGCTGACTATCAAATGATTGATATAGGCTATAACCGATTTCTCTGGCGTCATTGTTATTTTTTTTTTTCTTTTTTGTTTTCCTTTAGTTATCTTTTTTTGTTTGTTTTTGTTTTTGCTTTTCTTAGCTACCTGAGTGAATGTTACGTGTTTAGCTTAATGATTGCCCACAATAGATAGCCTGGAAAATAATCAATAATAAAAAGTGCATGCATCAGTCGTAAGTGGAATTATTATAAAAAGGTTCTGCAATGTAATTATAGGGTCATTTGGTGGGCCCGTAACTCGAAATTTCCACATTAACCGAATGCAATCAAGCCGAACCAGAGGCCAAGCCACCATCAGTACCATCAGTACTATCACTACCATCAGTACTAGCAGTATCAGTACCATCCATTTTCTGCCTAATTAGAGGTTTATCCATATGCATATGTACACGTATAATTTAATAGATAGATAATTGCCATTGGCCCAGTCAAGTGGCAACAATTCAAATGCGTTCAGTTCAGGATGATTATGCAAATGGGCTATGGGTTATATCAGCTCTCAAGAGTGAAGATTTTTCTGTTGAGATACGTATGAGAACTACGAGTAATTTCCACATTTGCATAGACATACATATGTTTATATATGTACATATGTACATACATATATACAACAAAAATCATTTGTCAAAGTCCACTGATCAATTGCCGAACACATACAGCTGAAAAAGTGCAAATACGTTTATATTATATATGAACATACATACATACTATGTATGTATATGTATTCAAACAAGAGATACACTTGTCCAACGGCAGAACCATTTGGCTTTATCTGTAATGTTTTGAATGGAAAGCATCTTATCAGTCTGTGGCAAAAAGAAAAAACAAAAAAATGCAAGCAATAAAACAAAGAACGATTAAAGTTAGCTACGATGAGGCTTGAATACTCTTTTCCATTAGATAATAGATTAGAGAGACATCTGTTTGGAAATTGTTTTAACCGTGTTATTTCATAGTTACTTAACAATAAACTATTGCTCCCTTGAAACTGGTTACACTTCAAATGCCGTTCCGGATAATAATTTCTCTTATAATTTGACCTTAGGTGTGAGGCAATATCAACTGCATTCTCAAGTTGAACGATGGAAAACGGGTTTATCAGCTAAATATAGAATATAGAGTTTCTGAATTTCCCAATTATAAATGCAGGTAACTGTAAACTGGTTTTGAATTGCCAATCAATAAGAAATCAATATATCAATTTTATTTTTAGGAAAATCTCGTTCAATCGCTCATTGAGTGGTTCAACTTGCGGAAATACCAGGAAGTGCTAAAGTAGGAAATATTCTTGGAAACTGGGAAAACTGAAACTGCAGCACTAATGGGATTCCGGCACTGCTGCAGACACTGTCCGAACGAACCGACCCGACCCGACCCGAATCACTCCATCCACATCCCGTATGAGGCAGAGTCAGTTGAAGCGCATCCCAAGGCGACCGACTGACTGACCGACTGACTGACTGACTGACTGACTGACTGACTGACTGACTGACTGAGTGACTGAATGACGGACTGACTGGCTGATAAAGCCGGAGGCAGCAGCAGTGCAGAAACCTTTATCAGCCGTTGAGCGAAACTTTGCACCCCAGACCCAGACAGAAGCGTTCCTAAGGCGATTACACGTATACTTTGGCCAATGCAGACCAGGCCGGACGATGACCCAACAAATCTATGAGCCCAAAGGCAGGTTTAGATTCTTCTTAAAATAGTGTGGAGGTTATGCAATACAGTAAGTAGGTTTATTTAGGCCTTGCTATTGATTTTATAGACTGTTTTCTTTTGCCGGGTCAAATCAGGCTCAGAAAGAGACAGACAGACAGAGAGCCGGAAAGAAAAACAAAGAGAGAGTGCGAGCAAGAGTGAGAGAAACGAAATGGAGCCTTCTTTTTAGGCGGCTTTGCTGAGGGAGGTCAAGGCGGACGCACATGCAATTTTTGGGCATTGATTTTTTGACAGTTTTTGGTGGTACGAGGCTACGGATCCGGCTACGGGTTACAGTTACGGTTACGGTTACGGTTACGGTTACGGCTAAGTGGGCCTTTCTGTGAGAAGGAACTTACCCCGGAATCTGGACTACTCGTAGATGAAACACATTTGTTGGGGTTTATTTATATTTAGGTGTTAAATATACATATATCCACAAAACTGAAATTAGCACTGAAAGAAAATCAATGAAAAGTTTACGTTTCGGCATTCACAGTTGTGTTGTTTTTAGCCGGGTTGAGCGAGCCCGAAAACGGCCGAGAGTGTGAAGAGAGAAAGTCTTAGAACCAAATGCCGAACTGAAAAAATGACTGCTAAACACTTCGGCCGACGGAACAGAACTGAGCCAGACCCCAGGCCAGACCCCAGAGCAGACCCCAGAACAGACCCCGGACCAGACCTTACCAAGACCAGCGGAGGCAACAAAGCCTGTTTGCAACTTGAGTTTTGAGCATGCGTGCAACGTTATCTTTATAAAATACTACTGCTGCCGCAGCCGCTGCCGCTGCCGCTGTCGCTACCGCTGCAGCATGAATGAAGCCGCAAGAGAGCCGGTGCTGGCCGGTGCGGGCAGCGTAAGCCAAAGAGTGTATTTATAAAAGGTGAGGTATTTGTGCCGGCCGCAAACACACACACCACACAAATAATGAATGAGTGAGGGCACACGCTGATAGTGCCCCACCTGATATTCATACACTTTGAACCATCAAAGAGAGAGAGAGACGCTGGAGAGAGCGTTCTCAGCGCTCAGACAGCTCCACGGCATAACAAACATTGGCGAAAGGGGCGTGTGGGTGTGGGGGTGTCAAGCGTGGCAGCCAAAATGGCAAACAAAATGCACGTGCTAGATAGTACAAAGAGAGCGGCAGTGAGAGTGGGAACGAGAGTACGACCGGCAGAGAGTGCCGGAGCCGGCGTGTGGGAGCGTAACCATTATGTCTAGCGGGGGAGAAAAGAGAGGGCGAAAAACGGGTGATTTAGTGGCTTGTCGATGAGAGGAGAGCGGAGCGCGGAGTCCCAAACAGTTGTTTGCTTCGCGTGACGCACTTGTTCCGTTTAGGTCCTGCAATGCGACACGAACGGCGAGAGGGGGTGGTAATGTTACCAAAGGAAAGAGTACCTAGAAATCCCTATACAAAATGGTTTTAATTGTGGACATTAGATTATGCCGTACGTTCGTACGAGACTCTTTCCATTTGATTTTCTATTCTTAAAATGCAGAAATTGCTGTATAAAAATAAATATATGTTCGGATAGTTAATACTTTCATAGCAACCCTCTCACCTGGTAATGAATGTCCTCCATACTTGCGTCCATTGCGACAGCTGTCTGTGCATTTCAAAAGTTTGTCATACAATCTATAATTGGATACAATTAGGCTAACGCTCACCTAACCCGATTTACCCGTCAATTTTAAATCGAGCCTATAAATGTAGAATGAGCGGAGAGCGGAGCCTTGGATGTCTTACAGTTGTGCAAACTTCGTTTCGTATCCCATAGATACTTGCGTTTATTTGGGCCTTGTTTATTCAGGGCCTCGGTGGTTATTATGGTGACATTTTGCTGACTTCGCCTTACGCAAGTTAAAGGAAGAGTTTGTTTACACGTGGATCCCAGTCAGCTTCTCATTCTACTTACATTTTTACCTCGATTTAACTTCACGTTGCATACTTTAAGGAGTACCCAAACTAATGAGATACTTTTCGGCTTATGGGGTCACGTCTGTTGTGCTCTACATATCGCCGCCCGTTGGCTGTCCAGCCGGGTCAGTGTCATTCGGTTTGTTTTTATCAGTCAAAGGGAACCGCAGACCTCAAAAGTTTCAATGTTTACTACTGGTCGCAAAAAGCTTTTCGCAGAAGACAGACTCGAGTATTTAATATTGGATCAGCATTGGAACTAAACGGGGTCTTAGTATGGACATAAACGATGTGGAACTATCCCTGGAGGAATTGCCCAGCTCGGAGGGGAGTTTCTCAAGCACTGCAACGGGACAGTGCTGCAGCTCAGGCAGGGATTTGGAGAAGGCGGAGAACTTGGTTGACCCAAGAAATCTCAATGAAGTGGAGGCAGCTCAAGGAAAGCCAAGGAAATCAGTCAGCGATCTATCGGGTGGCAATAGCTATGCCACAAATAAAAATGTGGCTGAAGGTAAGTCAGTAATATACAAACACAAAATATATTCACTCGTCTCTCCCCCAATGAAGGCCTCATGGATATAGCTCTTCTCTCCGCGAATGCCAACCAACTGCGATTCCTGATCACCTACAACGACAAGGCCTCCACCTATATATACAGCCTGATTCTGGTGATACTCTCGTTGAGCCTGCAGCTGCTCGTAGGTCTTATGCTTATTTTTAAAGTAAGTCAATGTCTGCCACTAACAGAACATATTTCGCCTTATAATACCCCATTCCACCCCATAGAGACGTCTTAAGCGCTGCCAGCGTCGGCGCTATGCGAGAACCAATGAACTACTGGTAATGGGAGTGTTCATGATCACCGTGATCAATATACTGCTGGCAGCCTTCACCACAACGGACGGAAATACGCATTAGAAGAGAATGGTTTTTGAAATATACTTTTAGATATATGTATATGTAGTTGTATTTGATACAATATAACAGGAAAAACTAGTTAGTAAATGCTATGGTAACATGGAAGAAACCGATAACCGATTAGGGTTCCAGCAGTTCCTTCACATAAATGCACTTGACGTATCTGACGTACGATATCTCAGCTTGTGTATAGGGGCGACGACTTAGGATCATAGTGACTGCTTCTGTGAACTTAGCCCGAATACTCCTTCTTGACGCACTTGGCAATGGTGCTCAGCTGCATGTTGGAGGTGCCCTCGTAGATGGCGCCGATCTTCACATCGCGGTAGAATTTCTCCTGGGGGAAGTCGCGGGTGAATCCCACACCGCCCATCCAGTCAATGCACTTGATGGCCGCACGCTGAGCGACCTCCGAAGCATAGAACTTGGCCATGGCCGCCTCCTTGAGGAAGGGCACACCCTGTTCCTGCAGGCGAGCCGCATTGTAGGTCATCAGGCGAGCCGCTTCGATCTCAGTGGCAATTGTGGCGATCTGGTGCTGCATGGACTGGAAGTTGTAGATAGATTCGCCGAACTGCTTGCGCTCCAGCAGATACGGAATGGTGGCATCGAAGGTGCCCTGGGCCAGGCCCACCATTTGAGCGCCAATGCCGATGCGGCCCTCGTTCAGGAAGCCGGCGGCATACTTATAGCCATGTCCGAAGGTACCCAGGATGTTCTCCTCGGGCACGCGGACATTGTCGAAGGTGAGCATGCAGGTGCCGGAGGCACGGATACCCAGCTTGTCCTCGGGCTTGTTCACGATCAGTCCGGGGGTCTCGCGATCCACAATGAAGGTGGTAATGCCACGGTAGCCCTGGAGAAAAGAGAGAATACTGATCAGTACTAGATTACTTAATAAATCAAAAAAAGCTCGTTCACGCTTGATCTTCGATTAGATGAACTTTGATCTTAGGAGATAAGCTGCGCGGCCAATCGTTCATAAATTGTTCAATTTGAAAAGTGAATTGAGGTGATAGTGAAAATGTCTATAATTGTCTATAATGTCTATAAATTACTAAATATTTAATAAAATTATCCCTTTGAGATCTTTCTTTCGATAATTTCATTATCGAGAAGAATATAACTACAGATAAGAACTTACATCCTCTGGCTTGGCATTGGCAAAGACCAAGAAGACGCCAGCCACATCTGAGTTGGAGATCCACATCTTGGTGCCGTTGATCACATAGTGAGAGCCATCCTTCTTGGCCACAGTCTTCAGGGAGAAGGCATCGGAGCCTGCACCGGGTTCGGTTAGGGCAAAGCTGCCAGCGTATTCCTGAGCCAATTTCGGCAGATATTTCGCCTTCTGTTCGGCATTACCGAACTTGATCATCAGTGAGTTGACCAGCGTGTTGTGGATATCCACAAAGGCGGCTACCGCGGGATCGATCTTCGACAGCTCCTCCACAACAATGATGTTGGTCATGAAGTTGCAGCCGCTGCCGCCCAGCTCTGTGTCGATTTCAATGCCCATCAGGCCATTGTCGAAGACGGCTTTGACCACCGAGGGATCGAATTTGTGCTCGTGGTCCATTTTCTTTACCAGAGGCAGGATTTGATCCTGGGCCAACTTGGCAACTGAAATTAGAAATCAATAAATTTGGAATTGGTTTACTTAAATGTAAATTCGCATTTTTTAAAAGCAATTTCGCTTAAAGCTCTTAGCATTGGAAATTTTAGACAGCTTTTCTGAAAGCTTCGTTGATCGGTATAAAAAAGCTGTTGGTTTAAGCTTTTTGTTCAGCTTTTGAGAACTTTCAACGGCACGTTTTCTTTGACAAACATTAAAATGAATCAAACTGGTCTGGGTTTCTTCCTCTTTTCACAGGGGGGCCTGGTATATTTGTTGTTGGGGCTCTGTTTGTATAAGTTGAGGTATTCCATATATATATTTATATATATATATATATATATATATATATATATGTATACATATATGTGTATATTATGTACGGTTATGTGTGGATGTGTATATGGATAGATGTGTGGGTAGTGCGTGTGTCTTTTTTATCAGCAGATTCGCTCTGTTCTACGATCGCGTGCGGCTCTCACTTCTCTCACTCTTTTTCTCTCTGCTCGTGCCTTTCTATATCTGAATCTTTTGGTCTCTTTGTTTGCTTCTCTCTCCGTATTTATTATTGATATTTTTTAAGCATTAATTTTTTCCTGCTGCCTGCTGCTAGAAAATCCAACAACTGGCACACACCCACCAAAGTTCTCACAGCCTTACCCTCTAATACCTGTTCATATTTCTGCGGTCAGGCTGTCCATTGTGCAGTCATGTTTTACTTATCATGAGGAAAGTTTTAATAATTAATTTTAGTAATATATTTTTGTAGTTACTCGGACCATATGTGCGAGTGGGCAATTTTCTAACAGCTGTGACGTGGAACTAAGGGCTCTAGGGCCCCTGCATTTAAGGGGGAGTCGAGTCTTATCAAACAGGAAACTATACTACACTCCCAATCTCTTTTAATTCGAGTATTATATTGCTCACTAAGCACATTTGATTCTGAGGTAACTGTATTCGTTCCTTGCATGTTTTGTTGGAGACTGTACGACGTCTTCGGAGAATCTAGGCATCTAACACATGTTTCTATTGCGTATTTGACCAATTTAGCTAATTTTCAGCAAGGAAGATAAACACTTAATGTGAGATCTTAGATCAATAAACTACATATAAATACCTGTGCCTACTGTACCTAGTTGGTCTGCTTGTTAGGAAAACCAGTTTGAAATCATGCACTTAGCCACTATTTTGCATGCAGCTCAGATTACGCAACCATCAGACCATATACTGTACCTATACACAAATACTTCGTATAGGTATAGAGAACCATATAGATTGAGACCAATTGAATGATTGATAAGCCTAACAAGGCGAAATTTTAAGTAAAATATGCAAAAGAAGTGTCTGCTCCCCAACTAAGAATCAGGTGGATAGCGGTGACTCCCAGGGGGGCCACCTTCAACTGAGTCAACTCTCTAGGGGAGTGCGCCGACCAAGTGCCACACACACCATTACCCGGCGTAGACACTAGAACAGTGACTACAGTTGGGCGGGGGCGTGGCACTGTCGCATTTATTGATCTATCACAAGTGTAACGCTATTTGGTTGACATCAAACCAGAACCGAACAGCTGACTGACTCGTGAAAATGGAAATGTGGAAGGAAAGACATATGCACACAGAAAGTGTGAGAAAAAGGAGAGAGAAAGGTAGGGAAAAGCTTGCACACCCACGAACCCACCCACGCTTCGAACACGCGTTTCGGTATAGTGATACTCCCCCTTAACGGACAGCGCCAACGACAGTCAGAAAAGACGGCGGCTAAAGCTGGAACTGAAGCGACAGCCAGCACCGAAACCTATATATAGACCGCGTGTGTTTGGGTGAGAATTTGCCCACATTTTGATTGCAAGTGAAAAGAAAATTCAACGTGAATTTTAAATGGAAACTGTAAGTAATTGAAGCTCATTCAAATATATAAAAGAAAAAAAACCCTGATAAGAAAGTTGGAAACAAAACACAGTGATAAAACAAGACCTTGAACTTGCCAAGTTGGCAGCTTTTTGGCAAAGCTTTACGTATCCTGCCCGACAGATGTCCTTTTCGGTGCGGGAGATCACTTTAAGGTAATTTTTTCGAGGATAATACAGAATGATATAGTATGTACACTGCTCATTGGAAAGTAAAATTTTCACAGGAATTTTATTATCCTGCGGAATGTGTTTGTCTGTTTGAAGGCATCCGAAATTATATAATATATAATGACAGGACAAAGTAAATTTATTCAACGTTCAATAAAATCCATTATACATATAGTGCCCTTTATGTAGAAAGAATGAGAAATGGAGGAATGGAGAAGAAAATCTGCACAAAATAAAGAAAATTCTCCAAAAATTATTTCAAATAAAAATATCATTGTAAAAATGCCCCAAACACACAATCTGATATTAAATGATATTTTTCACACTATCAACATGAAAATGTGCTTATCTGGCAGTGAGACCGCACCGGACCCCCTAACTAAACAGCTTTATCAGCAAAAAAAAAATGAAATGAAATGAAAAAACTCGAAAAATAGAGAAATAATAATAGTTTGAGAGCGGCCAAACTGCAGCAAGAATTTTCTACTCAAATAATAATAAATACAAACAGCCTCCATATGAGATGCTTGGAGTTACGTAACAAGCGGCACATAATAAAAAAAATATCTTAAAATTCGTCGAACGAAAAGTATGGAAAAAATAAAAGAAAGAATTCACTGCTTATCAAAGCAGGATTACAGTTAAAATTACAGGGGCCCCTAGAACTTTAGATCTGTGCACAGTGTACAAAGGAATCACTCACCAGTCTCCTTCATCATCTTCTCATCCTCGGTGAGGAAGGTCAGAGGTGGGGGCAAACCAGTTGCCGAGGACATGGCAGCATTTTGCTGACGTGCTGCGGCGTTAACCAGCTGGAATTCATAGAAATGTCATTTAAATTAGCTAAACAATTTGGCGATTGGTTGTAGGCGTGGCTCTTACCATACGCATGGGCAGTTTCTTCAGGCTGTTCATCATGGTGGATGTGGTGGAAATATTAATTGGATCAAGTGGACTCTGTGGGCAGGAGGTTTTCCCAAGACAATACACAACAGCAACAGTTGGCTGCACACACGCGAATGATTTCCATTCTCCAGACACATATCAGTGGAGCCGAAACTTTGGGCCCCAAAGCAGCGATCCGATCGACAAGAGCAAGATGATTTGAAAAGCTTTTGATCTCCAAAACTTACCAGAGCGCCAATCATTTAACTGTTAACACCGAAGGCTCTTAAAGTGCTGTAGAGCGCACGCTATTGCTGAAGTTTGACATTTTGGCGAAAAATGGTCGATTTACAGTGCACACACCAATCTACTCTTAAAAAAAAACAACAATAAATTTGGATCAACTAAAATTCTAATCTAATACCCTATTTAAGCCAGGGTTAAGTTATTGAGCTATTGAGCTTTGGGCAAAACTCGGTTTTTTTATATAGCATAAGACTAGGGGCTTAGTGGTAGCAACATGCTCTGCACATTTCTGTGAACTATTACCACTAGTAACAGCAAAAACTAGCTGATCAAAAATTAATCTTTGGGGCGTTGAAATTGTGGCTCAGGGAAAAAAGTGCAAAACACAAACTCCTGCATTACGGGTAATGTAGTAGAGCTTCGATTTGTCCACCTGGAGAAACAGCACTCTGGCTGTCCAGAGTGCTGCCTGTATTTTTTGCACCTCCAGGACCTACCATCCAAGTACCAGGCGATAGCCCTCGAATCCCTGGTGGCACCGAAACCCATCTGAATTGCACCTAAAACCGAATTTTGACATTAATTAAAAGAATAGGGTATACAAATTCCATACTCCATAAATATGTAGTTCATATGTACCATAACTGTAGTTAGAGTGTAGTTACCATGTCCGAGAATAGCCATTTTTGTTGATCTTTTTTCTAAACCTTATTTTAGACACAATAAAATAAAATAGTGTACTTGAAATTATCCATTCACGTAGAAAATTGATTCATCAATCGGACAATATTCTATGTTTAGTGCGGAGTATTCTAACTAGTTGGCAACATCAAACAGAATATGAAAATCGACGAATATGATTTCCGATCATGGACAGAGAACGATTAACCCTTTGTAGAACCCAGTGGGTATTAATATATACGGTTCCAAAATTACGAAACTTGAAGAGTTTTAGTGCACTTCCGTTTTCTTTTTTAGCAAGGAGGCAGAATGGATCTATAAGAAGAATTTGCAAACAGAATTGTTTCCCGCTGTTTGACTCAAGTTGTTCACCTGTTTAAATTGAGGGGTGTAAGATGGGTTAAACTCTTTTTTTTTCATTGATTGAAAGTTTGTTTGGATTTGTTTACTAATTACATCCAGTTTAGCAATACTTTAAAAGGTATTTTGAAAGAAGTTGTGCACTTACAGGGCTTTGCAAGAGAGCTGAACAGCTGGGACAAATAAAAACACCATAAAAACTAACATTAAACGCACTAAACACACAGCCTTTAAAACACAGAGGGCACACGTGCTTAGATGATTTTTGTGCCGCGGCTGGAGGTACCAAAAATAACGATTATATCCACCCGTTTACGTCACTACTTTCGAAACATGAACTGTTCCGAGCTGCTGCCGCCCGCCTCGGTGAGGGGGATGCTGGAGCTCCAGCGTGCGGAGTTCCAAAAGCGTGTGCAAGTTCCCCAACTGCGGGTGCCCGAGCTGCAGGTGCAACGTGTAATCCCTCTGGTCAAGAAATTCCTGCTCAAAATGGAGCACATGCATCCAGTGCGCGCTGTGGACAAGTCGCGGGAGATACTACTGCACCCCATGCCTATAAAAGCCTGGGAATCCCTTCCCACAGAAGACCTTCAGAAGCAGCAGGTCACGCAGGATAACTTCAGCTTTGTCGAACTTGAGTTGAACTACGAGAACTGGAGCGCCAACGAAATCCTAAAGAGTGTGCTCCCAGAGGAGGAGGATGGAATGACATCCTACTCGCGAATCGGACACATCGTGCATCTGAACCTGCGCGACCACCTCCTGCCGTACAAGCAGCTCATAGGGGAAGTGCTGCGCGACAAGCTTCCGAACTGCCGCACGGTAGTCAATAAAGCGTCTTCCATAGACAATACGTACCGAAACTTCCAGCTGGAGCTGATATGCGGGGAAGCCGAGTACCAAGTGGAGACCAAGGAGAATGGCATTCCTTTCGAGTTTGATTTCTCCAAGGTTTACTGGAACCCCCGCCTATCTACCGAGCACGAGCGCATTGTTAAACTGCTCCAGCCAGGAGACGTTCTCTACGATGTGTTTGCCGGCGTGGGTCCGTTCAGCGTGCCGGCGGCGAAGAAGCGCTGCCATGTCCTGGCTAACGATCTGAACCCCGTCAGTTTCCACTGGCTGCAGCACAACGCGAAACGGAACAAGTGCCTTTCTAACATCAAAATGTCCAACAAAGATGGAAGAGAGTTTATTTTGAAGGAACTGCGGGCGGACCTGCTGCAACGACTGCGTTTGACGGACACATCTTCGTATGCCACTCACATAACAATGAATCTCCCAGCCATGGCTGTGGAATTCCTGGATGCGTTTCGCGGCCTCTACACAGACAACGAGCTAGCTGATATCTCCGATGCTGTTGTCTTCCCCACTGTTCACGTATATTCGTTCGCCAAGGGCGAGAATACCAAAGCATTAGTGAGGGCGCAGGTAGAACAGAATCTGGCTTCCACACTGGACGAGAAACAGCTTCAGGGCATTAGCTTTGTGCGTAATGTAGCGCCAAATAAGGACATGTACAGGGTATCCTTTAAACTTACGCGGCATTTGCTAACCACGCCAAAGGAAGCCGAAGCCAATAACGTACGCAAGCGGTGCGCGGAGGATGAGAAAGTTGATCCTGAGGTGGCGGCAACAAAAGTGAAATGTGTTTAAAAGTTGTGTTTTTACAATAAAGTTTCCTTAAAAAAAGCGAAGTAAACAAACAGCGTCTCTTCCTTTGAATACTTGCAGATGGGTCGCAACAAGGCCAATAACAAGAAGGTTGCTCCTGCAGCGAAGCCGAAGACACCGCTAAACAAATCAAAGAAAGCCAAGAATCTATTCAAAGTGGCCGACAACAGGAAGGGCAAGGGCAAGAAGCCCAAAGAAGTGCAGGGCAATCTAAAGCAGGTGAGTGGAGGATTCACATGTTGGCTAGTACAGCATCCAAAGGATACCATCTTCAATCAATGCCAATATTCCAGATCAAGGAATCTGTCAAGGCCAAGCAGGAAAAGGTGGATGCCACTCTCAAGACATTGCATAAGGATATGGTGGTCAAGAAGCCGAAGCCAGCCGTGTTCCCCATCAAGAACAAGAGGAAGCCAGCTGCCAATACCGAGAAGGTGTCCGACACTTTGGGCAAACTTAAGTTCTAAGGACCGCCCAATGATTTAGATGTAGTTAGTTCCCATTCATTGTTAAAGGCCTCGGCCGAATGTTGCTAGTGCAAAGATCATACAAATATACGATAGATATATTGACCACTCTAGACAACTGGGAGTGCTCCCACTGGAGATCCGTTTCCCGGAGGGATCACAGCAGCTGGAATCGTTGTGGGAGGTGCTGGCGTCGAGGTTGGTGCAGCAGTTGCTGCAGTGGTTGTTGGATTGACAGCAACATTCCATCCGAAGAGCTCGCGTATAATTCCATCCAACTGAGCCGTGTCGATGCCCGCCTGCGTCAGGTCCGCCACAACCTGCACAGTACCCGGCAAAGCCAACCAGCGTTCGTAGACCACTCGCAGAGCCTGGAGTCTTGACCAGAACTGGGAAAAGATGCCCGGTTGCAACAGTTTGGCGTCGATGTGGGCTCGAATCGCATATTGTGGAAAGTAGAGCTGCGCCTCGTTCAGAAATCCCTGCCAGCCGAAAACGGTGCCAGACCAGTAGGGGAAGCGGTTGAACAAAGTGACGGCTAGCTCCTGCTCCTCCATCTCAAAGGCGCCGCCTGATGCCACCAGCTGCTGGTCGACCCACTGTAGGAATAGGATGAGCTCGGGCTGCGAGAGCAGACGCCAGCGGGCCGTGAAGCCAGCGTTGCTGTTGATAATCCGCACGAAGGCTTGGAACTGAGCATCGTTGATCAGGTACCGCGCCAGCAGCTGATTCAGAGGCTTGAACTGAATCAGACGTGTAATCTCATCCAGATCCCGGGCGAGGGTTGGAGGCGGCGGCGGAGGAGCCACGGGGTAAGGCTGCAGGAATTCTCCTCCAGCTGGTTGTTGTGCCAGCGGCCATTGGGCAAGTGATCCGGTGCCAAGGGCCAAGAAGAAGAGCAACCCCAGAGTAATAGCCATGGCTGTATAGCTACGACTGGATGCCAGCCAACCGAAAGTAGCTACCTTTTATACAATTAGTACTCGCATATCCATATCATATCCCACTTATCTGCTGATAGCGGCCTCCCGGAATTTGTCGCAGCATCTTTGCTGACAGTTGTCGTCATCTGATAAGCCCCCTATTCGATCTGTTTATAGTATCACTCGGATAGTAATCCCTCGAGGAAGTCTGAGTCCGGGATAAACAGGGAGAGCAAACAAGACAAGACCAAAACAAAGACCAAATTGAGAATAACTTAACCCTAGATACTCGTACATCTCTATGGGGCGGTGAATACTCGCAGGCGAATTTTAGTTTGGTTTGGCCTAAGCTTTATTTCCAAAATCACCAACAATGCAGATTGACGACAAAGAACCGCAAACGAACACTTCATAACATGAGGGGCACAAAATGAAACATAAATACATACATATGTACATATGTAGAATTTATGGTCGAATAGGTCTTCAATGAACAACCCTAACAAACACACACTCATCATTTTTAAAAGAAAAGGAAAATAGTCGAGCTTCGGGAACCGAAGAATGAAATATCCTTGCAAATTGAAAAGTAGGGTCCCATGCAATTACAATTTTTTACCATTCTTCAGAGACGGCATTTTATAAGACGATTGTCATTAATTGGTTAAAAAAAACTCAAGTCTTTTCCCACAGCGGACACACTTTTGATACACATCGTATAACTCGATGCATATACACAGCAGGTAGACGGACCTGGTTAAGTGATAAACTTATCTTCAAGGTTATTAAATTATTAGTACCAGCGAATCTTCATTGGAGAAACGGTGGGAAAGTCAACAATGAATCATTTCAATGATGTACCAAGCCTTTTCGACCTACTTTGGACAGAATTCGGAATAGATTTGCAAGGACTCTTGACGTATACAGCATATTGAGTACGAGGCTCGGCTCGGCTCTGACAAGGATTCTTTGATATTCCGTAACAGAACTTTAGCTTAAGATACATAAATAAGTCGACATTAATAAAAACTAGCTTAATCGATAAACGCATGTGAGGATGACCAAGACCAGAGGATCAGGCCTCGTCGTTGCCCTTGCGACGCAACCAGGTGGGTATATAGCCCCTTACGGCTTCGCCCAGTTGGCGGTAAATGATCAGCCCCAGAATTGGCAGGACCAGTCTCGCGTCCTTGAACAAGTACACATAACAGGCAACCAGGAAGAGAACCAGATCCGTACAGTAGCTGAGAGCCGAGCGGACCTTCTCGTGCGTATGCTCCTCCGATTGGAGCACCGCCAGTGCGGACGCTCTCTCCAGAAGATCCCGCTCGGCGCTTGACAGAACCAAGGCCGTCTGTGAGGTCCTCTCTACTGCCAGAGCCAGGCTTCCCGTAGCTGGTGGTGGGGGTCTATTGAGCGAGGTGTCGCGAGACCGAGTGCTGGACGGAACCCGCCGCTTAATCACCCGCTTTACCTTTACGAGACGCGTTCGTCCCCGGGCATCGGGACGAGCCTCGACCGTCTCGCTCATGACGCTCTCACTCTCCGCCTCCGTCTTGTTCCTTGTTTTAAGAGGGGGCACCACTAGGATAGTCGGGTACTCCGGCTCCTCCTCCTCCTTCTGCCTTTGAGTCTGCTGCTCGCTCTCCTCCCGCACTAACTCATCTTTGTCGCGTGATTTGTGATACGCCAGATTACTGGACGCATCACGGACATGTACCAGCTGCTCCCTCTCCGAGATGGACAGACGCCGCTCCCGACTGACTACTGGGGGTGCCAACAGCATGTCGTCGTTGGTCTTGCTAGCCAGCCGCCTCCTGTGTTCCTCCGTGTTTGACATGGATCCCTCATCCTCGTCAGTTTCGGCTGCTGCCTTGGCGGCGGCCCGCTTCAGCTCCTCGCGGTCCAAGTAGAGTGGCGTGTGGTATTTGTGGGAGCTGCCCACCTCCCGGACTAGGTCGCTGTAGTGATCGACGGCGGCATGGGCCTCCTCCTGCATGAGGCGCTCGGCCTCTAGGCGACGTAGTTCCTCTTCCTCCTTGGCCCTGCGTTTGACCTCCAAATCAGCCGCAATGGCAGCGGCATTGGTTTTCTCCAGAGGATTCGATATCTCCTCGTTGGCTTCAGTGTTCTTCTCGGTGGCGGATCGCTTGTCGCGACTAAAGAACGACTTTATGCCTTTGGCCAGGTCCATCTTTAAGCTGCTCGTACTGGGATTGGGCGCAGCATTTGGTACGGATGGCTGTGGGATGGCTGCAACTCCCACTGCGGAGGTGGCTGTGGATCCATTGCCATTTCCAGGCAAGGATGGACTGTTGGGTGGGCTCACCGGCTGCTCCACATGCTCGTTGGACGAGCGTTTAAGGATCGGCTTGGGGACAAAGTCTGGACTGGGCAGAGGCATAGGGCGGTTGAGCACAACAGCTGCCTGCTCCGGTGTGGGGGCGCGATAGGGTGTAAAGGTGCCAGCGCCCATGTTCCGAGGATGGTACGTCTCCAGATCGCGGGGGCTGGGCGAGCGAGTGCGAGCCAGCAGTTCCATCTTGAACTTCTCAATGGAGTCCTGCTCCGAGGAGGCAGTGCTCTCGGTGTAGTCGGATCCCAGATCGTAGCTGGACTGCTGTTTACCCTGTGCTGGATAGTCCTCATCCATCTCCATATTCATGTCTTCACTGTCTTCTGCTGTGCTCTCGGTCCGCTCTTCTTCGTCAAGCTCTTCGTGTTCCCGGATGCGCTGCTGTTCCTCGCCCGAAATCTGTCCCGTAGTGTGCGTGCGTGAGAGGCTGCTCAGATCGTTGACATTCTCCCTTGAGTCCCACTTTCGACCCATGCTAACCATGTCCGCTGATTGCCGACGCAGTTCGCTCCTCCGCTCGAACGAAACGCGCTCTGCCTCTGAAATGGAGCCCAGGCGTTTGCGGAGATTAGCCGGCGGAACAGGCGCCTGCGTACTGCTTGCTATTCTGTCCTGGGAGGCCTTTCTCGACTTGGCGGCTTGCTCCAGCTCTACCGCCTCATAGAATCTCGCCATTGCTCGCTCGTAGAGCAGCTCGGTGGAGCTCACGGACCGGCGCAGCGGGAAGGTGGTATGCAGGTTGTTGAACTCCAGAAATGCCAGATCTGGTGCGGAGATGGATATGGGCGGTGGCTGTATGGCATCCTCCAGGTCTAGCTCGAAGGAATCTTGCTCTGTGGAAAGGACAAATGCAAAACTGGAATGTCTTGGACCATGGATGGGCTCTGGGTATACTTACTGTCCTTATCCTTGACCTTGCTGTTCTTGTCGAAGACGACGAGCATGAACTCGTTGCTGGTGTGCACCTCGTCGTGCTTGTCCGCAAACCTGGAGGTACGTCTCGGAACTGGAGAAGAGTCTGGTTTGGGCTTGTGTTTCGGTTTGGGGGACTCTTCCGGGACTGGAACTAGAAGCGGAGCTGTGGCTGTTGCTGTTGCTGTGGCTGGTGGTGGTGCACTGATCTCAATGGTGGGCAGCCTTTCGCCAATCACCGCACTAGCACTGGCAGCCACTGCCAATGCCAGGGTGGGTACGTTCCTCGCCGGACTCAGGGCCTGGCCCGAGAATCGTCTCACATTCTGGTTAACCCCCAGCTGGACAGGCTCCGCACTACGCTGCAGGGCTGGAGTTGACTTGATGGGCTCCGGTGGTGATGTTGGTTTCGTTTCGGAGTGTTGTCGATTCGTTGGCGGACTCAGACTTCGTTTTCGGTGGAGGACCGTTTTACCCGGCTTTTCCGCAGGCGGAGTGGGCAGGGGCTGTGGTTGGGGCTGCAGTGGGGACCTCTCTTTGGCCACAGCCGTGGGCTTGGTATTGAACAACTTGAGAGGTGAGCCAACTGGCGACTTCTGGGGCCTAGCCGGGGGCTCTGTCTTCTCGACCAGAGCGGTGGTGGTGATCAGCGTGAGGTTGAGCTTGTTATTGGATCCAGCCGCCGGCTTGGCCGACGAGTCGGCACTGCTCTGGGAGGGGCTCTTGCGGACGTCCATTCTTAGAGCCTGGTCCGAGGTGCCGTAGGACATTTCATGGTGCAGCTGCTCATTGTCGATGAGCTGAGGCTTTGGCTTGCGTTTGGCGTTTGGTGACTGCTTGGGCGACATGCCCGTCGCAGCATCTGCATGGGGACGTGGTGGAGAGAGCGTCTTGCGGCGTGGCGGTACTTGGACGGCGTCCGACTTGGGCTTATCCTTCTCCTCGCCGGCAATTTTGGTGGCAGACTTGGGCTTGGTGATGCCACGCTTGGGATCGGGTATGAAGAGCAGCTCCGACTCCTCGGATGGCTCACTCAGGCCATAGGGGTTCTCAGCCTTGACGCGGAACTTGTACTCCGAGCCCTCTATCAGATCGTGTAGAGTGGTCGTCAGGGCCCGCGTGGTGGCGGCCTTTAGCCAGACGTTCCAGCCAATTCGAAAGTACTCCACAATGTAGTTGCCGATCTTGCAGCCGCCATCGTCCAGAGGTGCCGTCCAGGAGAGCGTTGCGGACTTGCCGAACGACATGTTCAGACGGGGAGCACCCGGGGCATTCGGCCGTGCCGTTACCGTGACCAGAAACGATGTGTTGTCTTCCCCCAGCTTGTTCCATGCACGCACCATGTATTCGCCACGGTCCTCCCGATGCACGTTGTCTATCTTGAGAAGCGAATTTTTCTCCGTATTGGTGACCTTCAGTAAGAACAAATAACGGCTTAAAAAATGCAGATTGAATATTCAAAAAATACGTGTATAGTAAAATACCTCGAATCGTCCACCAGGGGCAATCACTTCGCCCTCATGGAGCCAGCTAATGGCCGGCGGCGGCTGTCCGGCAATGCCGACCTTCAGACGCAGTACCTCGTCGGCTTCCACGATGAGTCCGTCCTCGTAGGTGCGTGGCAAACGAATCTTGGGTGGCGCCTGCACCATAAGCCTGGCTTTGGTCACCACGTGGCCAGCTCGGTTCGTTGCTGTGCACTTGATTTCGCCTTCGTCCGTCAGTGCCACTTGGTGGATGATCAGAACACTGGCGTCGTTGTCGTTGACGATCTTGGTGCGTCGACTGCTGAAGATCTCATAGCCATCCTTGAACCAGTTGATCTCCGGCGGCGGTTCGCCCAGGATGCGCACCCGGAACTCGATCCGCTCGTCCTCCACCGCATCAGTGTCCAACAGCTCGTCGATAAAGCGGGGAACAGTTATCGCGTTGCGCTGGAGTGTAACCGTTAGGGGATCAGAGAGCTCGCTAGCGTCGGATCGTCCCACGATGTTCTCGGCAAAGCAGCGAAATTGGTATCGCCAGCCTGGCTCCAGTCCACTGATGCAGACATCGCACCGGGAGACAGGCGTGGGTGTGGCACGCACCCAATGCGGCGAGCCCATGCGACGGTGCTCCACCGTGTAGCCGGTGATTGGAGAGCCTCCGTCGAGTAGCGGACGATCCCAGCGCAGGTTGACCACATCGGGCTGCTGCTCCGAGAGCGACAGCGGCGTCAGTATAGGCCGACCAGGCGGAGAGGGTCGTTCTGAAAGCATAAGCAAGCATAAATGATGCACTGAAAACTGGTCCCTCTCTCAGTTTCTGCCGCCCGATGGCTCTCTTTCTCTCTGTCTTTAGCCGTAGCCGTAGCCGTAGCCACAGCCACAGCCGTAGCCGTAGTTTCGAAAACATTACTTTTGTCGTTTTGATTTTTTAGGCCAAACATTCACACAATCACGGACCAGACCAGACCACGGCAACCACTTGAGTGTGCGAGTCGCTATAAATAGACAAATTTCTAGCGCTCCCACCAGCTATGTGGGCTCCGTCTGCGCTGATTATAGCCCATCCGAATGCTTTCTATCGGACTAAATGGACTGGGATTGGGAATACTTTTGGATATGTTTTCGAAGTTACGCTAAAACTTGCCTGCAGACTTCCAGTGGACATTCTTCTTGGGTCGACCGCTCTGTGCATGGGCATGCAGCTTTCCCGGCTGATTTCCCATCTCGAGATGCTAAATATTTAACCTATTTGCAATTATTTGTGCATATATAGAAGTTTCTATATATAGACAGTCGAAATTAACTGAAGACACTCGCGGATCCGTCGCTTTAATTGAATGTTTTTCGACAAAACTCTCAACTGACGCCTCGATTGTAAATTCTAATAATGTAATTTTCGTAACATGAATTTGTTGATTGCAAGCGTTGCCATTTTTACGGCGCGTTAAATAATCCGTTCGTTAGTCAAGCATCTCCTCGATTCCACGACAGTGTGAGTGAGTCGCGTAAGCTTTTTTCTGGGCGCTTTAAATGTCAACGACGAATAGCGATCAGTGTTGCCAGCGCCGCTGGGCTGGTCGTTTTCCAGCACTGCAAGCGCAGTGTTACGGTATATTACAGTATATTTAATAAGGTAGCCCCACACATTTTCGACACGTTAAATGAAGTTAGTGAAACAAAATGAGCAAAGATTTAAAGCAAATTATAAACAGTGTTCACCAGCAAATGGTATCATGATCATGTATCACGTGTCATCTATCTTGTTTTGAGTGCTGGCACCAGCAGATCTAAGCTGGGAGAAGCGCTGCGGCAGATATTAACAATTTTTGTACTCTTCAGTACCAATTTTGCTGGCTGGCTAAGTTCTCCGATTGTAGAAAGTTTGCAGCAAAGTTACCAAAGTCTAGTGTCATATGGCCATAATACATTTTTTGCATCGGAAATGTTTAAACTGGACAATATACATATTTCCCTATGGAGAGGGATTTTATAGAATTAAGAACATTTTTGTTAACCCAGGAATGCAGAAACTAGTTAGTTGCTGTATTAAAGCTGTCTCACCGAAATTTTGCTTACAGAGACCAAGAATAGGTATCGGGATCGAAATATATGTACATCTATACAGCAAACAAATAATATGCATGAATAGATAAAAAATATTTCAATCTAAGAAAAAGTCATTAGTAATGTTTCTGCTCATGTTGGAAAACAAAATTTTAATATTAATTACGGCAAGTAGGGTATAAAGATGTCTATACCACAAATTGACAGGCAACAAGTGTTCAAAACGTAACATTTCATGCTCACTTACGATTCATTTCATGCCCGCTTACGTTATGCTTTTATCTTTTTGTTTAAACCTTATTTTAGACAAAATCAAGTAAAATTGAAACCTTAAACTTAACATGTCTTGTAAAAAATTGATTCATCAATCGTATAAAAATATATGTTCAATGCTGCGGGTCCTAGCAAGATAGTAATATCAAAACGAATATCAAAATCGAGGAATATGACAATTGATCACAGACAGAGAACGATTAACCCACTGTCAACTGGTGTATTAAAATACTCTCCACGAAAATTATGAAATTTAAAGAATATTAGCGCAGATCAGGTGAGAGATATTGTGGGGCTCAATATGAGTAAAAAGGAAGGATTTACCTACATGAATTTTACAAAAAATATATTTTTTCGCGGTTTAACTAAAGTTGTTCCCCCGTTCAAATATAGGGGGGTTAAGTTGGCTAAATTGGTTTTTTTTCATCAGACCGTATACTGTATCCGCGGTCACACTGCTTGTCACACTTAACAAAAAATAGAATAGGCTATTTTAGAAATAGAAAAATTGATTAATCCGATAATAATACAAGTTATAAGCATAATTGTTTCGGTTTGTTGTTTGTGCTGAATCTTTCTTTATTTAACATATTTCTGTGTATATGCGTGTCCCGACGGCATAGATATGCTTTGCCACCCTTGGAATGTTTGGAAGCCTTTGTAAGGTACTCATGATTATAAAAACAAGCAGTGTATTTCGGAAAAGCCGCAGCGGTGCAGCTGCCCAATTGTGACAGGTGCAGCAACGTCTGCGGCACGCGAACATATTCACACACGCACACACTCAGCTTTACGCATCCCTGTGTTGAGAAAATCTACAAAAAACAGCAACAATGGCTGGCACGGCCGCGGCGACGCCAATGGAAATTGATGAATTCATAAATGGAGCACTCGTTTCTTGGGTGAGTAGAGTGAATAAACAAGCTCAATACTATGTGCTTGGCATAAGAAATTCAAGTGCTCCCAAGTAATTCCCATGGGCACACACACGAAAAAGCAGCAACAAAGAGAACAACCTACTCGCTCGTTCGCATAGGCTTCCGCAGCAGCACAGCACTCACCTGGTTGCTGGTAGCAAGGTCATTGTAGCTGGCTTACGACAGCTTACGGTAGAACTTTTATGCTGTTATATTCGCAGTGTGCTTTGTTTGCATGTCCGCTCATGGCTTCTCCATCTTCTCTTTTTGTGCTCACCCCAGCTGGAGTCATGCCTGCCACGTGCCGAGCTGCTTGCCGGTTACACCTCGCTGCTGGATGGCCATATCATACACAGCGTTTGGCTCCAAATCGACCCGGAGCCGCAAAACAATCCCAGCGAACTGACCGAACTCAGTGGAAAATCTTTGAGTGTGGCCAGGGCCAAGAACTTTGAGTGTATCGTTCGGAATCTGAAATCCTTATTTGAGGAAGAGCTGGGTCAGACCATACTGGCCCTGCCCGACGCTGTCACGCTAGGCTACCATCCGGAGAGCAGGAGCGGACTGGAGCAAATGAAAACGCTGCTCACTCTGCTTCTGGGTGCCGCAGTGCAATGCCCCAACAAGGAGCTATTTATAGCCCGCATCAAGGAGCTAGATCTGGAGACGCAGCACGCCATTGTGGCACTCATCAAACAGGTAACGGACAGCCATAGTCTAGTCCTCACCGAAGACTCGCTGGAGCGGCTGTCGCCGCAGAACATGTACACGCACATTCTTCGTCTGACCAAGGAGCGAGATGTCATGTATTTAAAATGGATTGACCTAGTGTGCATGGAGCCCGAGATGACGGCCAGCGACAATCTGGCGGAGTGCGGCCAAGGGGGAGCTAGTGTGCCGCGTTCGCCCTCGAACGGAACGGCCACCTCAACACCCTCATCGTCATCCAACTCGGAGAGCAACCACCTGGCAGTGGAGTGTGCAGACCTCAGATCGAAGAATCGAAAGCTTCGCCAGGAGCTGTACGTTGAAACGTTTCTCTAACTCTTCTGATTGATTTCTGATTTGCTAATAAAGATTACTTTTCCAGGGAGGAAAAGTCGGAAAACCTTCTGGAGCTACGGGAGGAGCTGGACGACAAGAAGGTCCGCTTCGACAAGTTGCGGCAGGAGAGCCAGGATTGGTTTACAGAGGCTAAACGGGCATCTGCCTATCGCGACGAGGTGGACATCTTACGCGAGCGGGCTGAGCGGGCCGATCGGCTGGAGGTCGAAGTTCAAAAGTATCGTGAGAAGCTCGGCGACTCCGATTTCTACAAGTCTCGGGTGGAGGAGCTGCGTGAGGACAACCGTGTACTGCTGGAATCAAAGTAAGAGCTATCAGAATTAGAAATGATGTTTATTAACCAAAGTTATATCCGTCAGAGAAATGCTGGAGGAGCAGCTGCAACGCTATCGCAAACGTTCGGAGCATGCCATCTCCCTGGAGTCTGAGATTATCAAATACAAGCAAAAGCTAAACGACATGGCCCTGGAACGGGATGTGGATCGCTCCAAGCTGGAGGAGCTACTGGAGGAGAATGCCCAGCTACAGCTGGTGGCAAGGAATCTGAACTCGACGCAGGAAGGCGACAAGTCCTTTTCAGAGAACGAGGATGATTGCAACTCGGGGGACAACAGCCTGTCCGAGCAGCTCACCAACAATGCTCAGACGCGTGCCCTCAAGCTGGAGCTAGAGAATCGGCGTCTGACTGCTGCCCTGGAGCAGCTGAAGGAGAGCAGCTTTCACGAGTCCACCAACAAAATTCTGGAGCTGGAGAAGGAGAAGAAGAAGCTCTCTCTGAAGATCGATCAGATGCAGGAGAACGTTCAGAGGCTAACCCAGCAGAATGTAGAGTTGGAGGGCGTGTTCAAGAATGCCCTGGAGGAGAACAAGAAGCTGCAAGATGCCGTGGATAGCCGCCAGAAGAGCTACGATCGCCAGAGCCTGGAGCGCGAAGTGGATCGGCAGAGGCTGGCAGATGCCGAACAACACGCCGAGACCCTAAATAAGGAGAAGCAACGCATCCAAACGCTCAATGAAAGCATTCAGCGGCGTGCGGATGACCTGGAGCGGCTGGCGGAAAGCAAGAGCAAGGAATTGGAGCAGTATACCGAGAAGACAAAGCAGTACGAGCAGACCAAACAGAAGCTCTACGATATCGAGGCCAAGGTGTCGGCATACGAGCGGGAGAATGCCAGCCTGCTCAAAGAGGTATCCAAGCTGAAGGAGGGCAGCGAGGAGAAGTCCGTTCAGCTCGACCAAACCATTAATCAACTGGACACCCAGACCAAAGATATTATGAGGCTCAGCAAAGTGCTTGAAGAGACCGAGCAGGTACAGCAGAAGCTCATCGAGCTGGAGAAACAAAACCAAGAGCTGGCTTCGCAACGAAACATCGATCAGGAGATGATTAACACGCTACGCGAGGACCTGGTCACTGGCACGCTGGTGACCAAGAAAGTGCGGCACAATCTGGAGAAACTCGGCCTCACCGACAGCGAACCCGCCGAACTGAATGTGGAGCATGTGGTTGAGAAACTGGTGCGCAATCCGGAGACCTTCAAAACGGTGCGTGAGATTATGTTGAACGTAAAACGCGAGCAACAGGAGGAGCGTGACGATGGAGAGGAGGAGGGTGGCCTCAAATCGGACATGTGTGTTCTATGCCATCGCCAAGAGATCTTCACAGTGGAGAAGAACATTGAGCTGGCCCCTTCTAGCTCTTCCCAGGAGCTGCGCTTCGAGCACAAGCCAAGGCCGAGTCTTGCACGGGAATCCGCCGAGCTGATGCGTGTCAAAGACTGCAACACGCAGCTGCAGACCGAAAACGCCCGCCTGAGTGTGGATGTGGCTGCTTTGGGCTCACAAATCACTTCGCTGAATACCCAGCACGTGGCCCTGCAGCTGGCAAACTCTCAACTGGCCGCGGAAAAGGACACGCTGCTCAAAGACATCGACTCCCTGCAGCAGGTGCACAAAAATGCGCTGCAAGATCAGGTCACGCTGCAGTGTCTGCACGACCAGCTCTCCGCCGAATACGAATCTCTCAACAAGGACAAGGAGCAGCTAAAGGCCGCAGTTCGCGATCTGCGCCAAGATTTGCGCGACACCCGCGAACAGCAATCGGCTTTGGAGCAGCGTATCGAGGAGCTCACAACTCAAAATAGCAGCATGAAGACCTGCAGCGAGGATCTCTCCATCCTACGCACCGAGCACTCGAAGCTCACCGATGACTTCCGCAATCTGTTTGCCACCAGCGACCGCTTCAAGAACGAGTACAAGAACATACAGGAGCAGTACAAAATGATACGCATGGAGCACAGCAGCCTGAAGCTCCAAAACACGGAGCTCACGGGGGAGCTCAACACCAAGAGTGATCAAGTTCGTCTGCTGCAAATGGAGTACAGCAAGGTTCAGCAGCGCTGTGAGGTAGGTCTGGATGAACGAGCAGCCTATTATATACGGTACTCACAGAGTTTACGGATATATTAGTTTTGTAGTAGATGTGGATGTGTGTAACGCCCAGAAGAAAGCGCTTCCGACCCCGTGAAGTAAATTGATCGTATCGGCTATCGATATAGCTTTGTTTGTCTGTCCATCTGTCCATTCACGTCTAGATCTCAGAGACTATAAGAGCTAGAGCAAGCAAAATTTCGCCCCGCCTCCAGAATGAAGAGAATCATTTAGAGTGGCTGCACTACCCCTCCCACACGCTTACTCACTGTCTCTCTCTTTCTCTCTATCACGCCCCCTGGCGGAGAGGAGTGAGATATAACGGCTGGCTTTGGTGTGGGAAGTGAATGAGAGAGAGAGAGAGAGACAAATGTAATGGAATAAAAAATAGTAGAAAAAAAAGGGGAAACATATAAAATATTTTAATATTCTAATAAAATAGGCCATTTAGGTGGTAAGAGGATAAAAGAAGAGCAAGAATAACCATTAGAATAAAACTGGCGGTCGTAGTTCCTCTCTTTCGCATTATCCCCATCTCTCAAGACAAGTTCATGACACAAAACTCATTGACTCCGACACCACTTCTTATAAATCGTAACAAATTGCAGATGCTTATACAAAACAACGGTGATCTGGACTCTGAGCGTAAGGCCCTGATGGACAATGTCTCGCAGCTGCTCTCCCAGTATCAAGAGCTGTTGGCCATTTCCCTGGAGGACAAGAAGCACTTCCACGAGGAGGAGAAGAACTACACCGAGCGGGTGCACAGTCTGAAGCGGCAAAAGGAGAAGCTTGAGGAGAAAATCATGGAGCACTATAAAAAGTCAGAGACGACAGTGCACAAGAAGTGAGTGGCCTTGTGCCAAAGACACTTGAAATTCGAATTCTTCTAATGGTTTCCGATCCCTCCCTCCCCAAGAAAACCCTTTGCCATCAGTCTGGTACGCCGTGTGAAGAAGGCTAGCTCCGATCTAATGAACAAAGTGCCCAGTCGAGTAGGTTTGAGTCCAGAGAAATTCCTGAACATCCTGAAAAACTAAGAATTCCCATATGTTTCGTTTTGCAGAACCGTCGCTCCTGGGTAGACGATGCGCGTACCAATTCGCAATTTGTTATTGGATCCGAGTCTGGGGGCAATGAATCGGACAACAGCAACGAAGAGCCCCTGTCCATTGCCTCCGATACGCATTTGCTGCAGCGAAACATACCACTTCGTCAGAGCCTGCAGCGGTAAGCGAGCACTTCCGATAAGATACGAATCGAGTATATGGTTTATTGGATAATATATTGTTGGGGACATGGTTTTTGTTCTATTTACATGTACATATATACACAACAACCCGCACACCACCAACAACGCACCACCACACGCACAATACAAAAATTGAACACTCCTCGAGTAGGGATTTGCTGGATAACTCGATCCAACGAGGCGGCGCCGTGCGCAGTAGCCTACAGGCACAGAAACGTACGGATTTGAATAACTCACGTAGAAATAGCGTGCACGGGTATGCGCTTTTAAATGTGTAACAATCTCTCGTACCTCCTAATAACTACTGTATCCTAAACCTATATTTCCTATACCCCAACACTTCCACTGCCCTGTCGTCTCTGCCTCTGTCTCTGTCGTTGTTTTACGGTCATAACATAGATAAAATACTAATTTTCCGATTTGGTTTTGCAGAAGCCTTGAAGCGCCAGACGTGACTGGCAGCAGCCTAACCCTAGGCACAGCCGGATCCCGTCGCACTGTGTATCTTATTGACGAGCATCAGAAGTTACCCGACGGCTCCAGCTCTAGCTCTGGATCCAACGCCCAACAGCAGCCGGCCAGCGCCAGTAGCGCCAGCAATGTCGGAACACCAACGCCCAACGCAGAACCTCAGACCCCACAAAAAAATAACGACAACAACAGCAACAGCAGCAGTCCAGGCCCAGCCACATTCCTCATGTACAATCGCATCAACACTACGATTGGGGGAACATCCACGACTGCGGACCAAAATCCGCTGGTACCGGCTGCGGCAACTGGCAGTGGAGGGGGGAGTGTCTCTGGTACTCCCACTCAGGATGATAAGTCTGGCCGAAAACGAAGCGAGGACAAGAGCAATAGCATCTGGTATGAGTACGGCTGCGTCTAGAAATACAAACATATATTCAGTATACACACGTCCACAACTTGAACTTGAATTTAAATTGAATGCATTTGCTGACGAAGTATTATTTCGTTTTAGACATAACGAATTTATGTTAACTAATTTACTAATATTAGAACATCGATGTTGCCTTAAGCTTAAGTAAGTGGAACGAGTATAAAGTATCAAGTGCTTCTTAAACTGCTATGATTTACCTTAAGAAATGTTTTACAATTAGGCTTATGTACTATACCTATACCTATACCTATATCTAGAGCTGTAACCTATAGCTAGTATATATTTATGTAATTGAGAAACTCGGAAACAAGCAAGACTACGCGGCAACTATGCGAACTATGCGAATTAATAACTACTACCCAGTATACACCTTTATATACACAACAAACCATTAGCTATACTTTCGATGCCTACTTTCGTTGATAAGAACAATTTTTAAGCAATATACGTATCTATTTATCGTACACGAATCAAAATATTCCTAGAAATTGTATACTACTATGCTCGTACCCTGCTAAACAGCTAACAAATGCGCCTTGAATTTGTGAATATATTTTTATATACATTACGTGTAGCCTCGTTCGTTCGTACGACTATTTATTGATGCAGGAGAGCCTGATGATAGAGCAATAAAAGCATGCATAACTATACATATATATCTCCTAGTGTTTGTGTCTGTGTGGTTTGGGCAGACTTTTAAGATAAGAATTACGATGATGATGTCGAGATACATATAAGATAAATCTTCTACTCACAGCATTTTAGTATGAATAACGAGTGAAGACAAAAAACATGTGGTTGAAGGCGCTTATTCTAATTCCAATGGTAACTATCCTGGCCAATCGCATTCCTAGTACAGTTTCTTGAGTACATTCGTTGCTACATATGTTCCTGAATTCAAGATCCTGGCCCAACACGCGGCGGCCACTTGCGGTGTGTGTCAGCCAGTCAGCCGAACGGTATGCCTCAGTGAAAACACTTTTTCCGCATGCGTGAAAGGTGAGCATGCCTATAGCAGGAGCACCGAGAATCGCAGCTGGAAGTATAATTTCAATTCCAGGAGTACCACTGAATGATATAATTAAGTGCCCAACCAATTTCTTTTGCACCGATGGTGACTACACTTGCTATGAAAATGCTGACCCGGTCTGCAAAGCGGATAGTGCACCGGAAACAACCACTGTGAAGCCGTGGACTGCCGAGGAAGCCTGCCAGCAAACCACAAAATCGGGCTTTCTGGAAAACGAAAATGATCCCACATGCACTTCGTAAGTACATATTCTGAAAGAGTTACCGCCGGAGGAAAATTAAAACCCAAACCTATTCGTAGCTACTTGTATTGTAAATTCGCAACGGATGGGAGTTTAGAAATTCTCAATCTCAATTGCCCGACTAACAAATACTTTGATGCGTCCATAAAAGGATGTACGGACACAAAACCCGCTGAATGTACTGAAGTGTCAACCACACTACCGACAGATGAGATACCAGCAACGATAGCAACAACTACAACAACCACTGAAAAGCCTTGGAGCGCAGAGGAAACCTGTCTGAATGTGACAAAATCGACATCTTTTACGAACGAAGATGATCCCACATGCGCCACGTAAGTTTAATTTTCGATTTTAGATAACAACCCAAACTAAACTGCATATTTTTGTACAGCTACCTCTTTTGCTATGTTGCAAATGGAGCAGTTAAGGCGCTGATCAAATCCTGTCCATCCACAACCCCATACTTTGATTCTACTATAAGTGGCTGCAGCGCCACGAAACCAAACAATTGTACATAATAATTCCTAAGTATGTAATTCTTGATGTATGTAATCGAAAACATGAACATATATTTTTGGTACCCGTTTGGGTACTGTTGTACTTACTTCCTGAGTTTTTTTAAAAAGACTAACTTATCTGGGCCAATTCCAGCGAAAATACTGATAGTACCCCATGTATAACGTTCGCATTAAAGTCCGTCATAAAAGTTTATAATGGTGTATAGATAAAAGACTATATAGATGAATAATTTCGGGTATAAGAACCCCAGTGTGGCCTTCCAGATTTGAAAGTGAATTTGTAGAGAGTAGATCATCATGTAGGCGAAACTTATTTTATCGCTGGTGACTACATAGCAGAGGATACGCCTGGGGACGTACATATTAAACATTTTAAATATTGCAGCTACTGGTGCAAATTAGAATTAGATGCCAAACCGCACAGGAATGGAGTGCCGAAAAGGCCTGCTTGGAAGTGACGAGACCGGGTTCATTTGAAAATCAAAACGATCCCACTTGCGGCAGGTAAGCCTTGATATTTTCTGTACTATTTTCAAACTATTAATTTTTTTACTCGAATTTTACTTGCAGCTACGTCTTTTGTTATATGTCAAATGGATCATCAATGGCGCTGGTCTTTTTCTGCACGGAAAACTCTTACCATGATGCGACATTAGGAGCCTGCACTACCAAAAAGCCGGAGAAATGTATATAATAAAGAATCGCCAGGGATATCGCTTTAGCCGCACCATTTTATTCAACAATAAGCCAGAGATTTCCCAACGTAATAATATTCCCTTTCCAATAAACACATTGGTATTCGAAGAAACAAAAAATATATCTTTAATTGGATCGTTTTTTAGCAATTGGCAGGCCGTTCGGCCTGGCATGATTCCGTATCAGAATTATAAAATTCATTCGTGTTGCAATAGTATAGCCAGCCCAAATAATCTAAGCTCAATTTATAGCAGTACACGTACCTGAAATCGGATAATGCGAATATGAATAAATATCATTTAAAGTGAAGTTAACAAACTAGACTCACTGTTTGCAGGTTGAATCACTATCGACCCGAAAGTATCCTTTCTTTTGTAACGTTGAACAATAGAGATCAGCATTTAGTGGAGATCCTGTGGTTGATTCAGTGGATGAATCAGTGCTTGAAGGCGAGGATATGGTTGATGAATCTGTGGTTGCAGTGGATGTTTCTGTGGATGATTCTGTGGTTACAGTTGATGACTCAGTGGACGATGAATCAGTTGTGGGTGAATATTCAGTTGATGTATCTGTGGTTACAGTTGAAGATTCAGTGGAAGACTCTGTAGTGGTAGGAGAAGATACAGTTGAAAAATCTGTCGTTAAAGTGGAAGATTCTGTGGATGTATCTGTGGTTAATGTGGATGATTCTGTTGAAGTATCTGTAGTGGCAGGGGAAGATTCAGTGGATGAATCTGTGGTTACGGTGGATTCAGTGGATGAATCTGTAGTGGAAGGTGAAGATTCAATGGATGTATCTGTGGTTACGGTGGAAAATTCTGTGGATGTATCCGTCGTTAAAGTGGAAGATTCTGTCGATGGCTCTGTGGTTAAAGTGGAGGATTCTGTTGAAGTACCTGTAGTGGCAGGGGAAGATTCAGTGGATGAATCCGTGGTAACAGTTGATTCAGTGGATGAATCTGTAGTGGAAGGTGAAGCTTCACTAGATGTTTCTGTGGTTACGGTGGAAAATTCTGTAGATGTATCCGTCGTTAAAGTGGAAGATTCTGTCGATGGCTCTGTGGTTAAAGTGGATGATTCTGTTGAAGTATCTGTAGTGGCAGGGGAAGATTCAGTGGATGAATCCGTGGTTACAGTTGATTCAGTGGATGAATCCGTGGTAACAGTTGATTCAGTGGATGAATCTGTAGTGGAAGGTGAAGATTCACTAGATGTTTCTGTGGTTACGGTGGAAAATTCTGTAGATGTATCCGTCGTTAAAGTGGAAGATTCTGTCGATGGCTCTGTGGTTAAAGTGGATGATTCTGTTGAAGTATCTGTAGTGGCAGGGGAAGATTCAGTGGATGACTCCGTGGTTACAGTTGATTCAGTAAATGAATCTGTAGTGGAAGGTGAAGATTCACTGGATGTATCTTTGGTGGTTGGAAAAGGTTTTTGAAAATAATCAAATACAAAAAAAGATAAGAAAATCAATTTTTTGGCTTTCTGCAAACCTGTTGTTACATCCGATGTTGTAGATGTCGTATCATCAGGTACACAAGCAGGCTGTAAGAAGTGCAATGAGAAATTGTCAATGAACCGAATAGATGAGATCACATCACTCACTGAGGACGACTCCTCGGGTGAACAGAATTCATCCAGGGTGCAATAAAACCCTTCATCACAAGATCTGATTGTGGTTTCGTCGACTGTTTCCTCTGAAAAGCAGAATCCATAGCTGGTCTCGTTTACGCACGTATACTGAAAATTGGTGAGAGCACAATTTAAGCAGCCAGCGGATTGACCGAGAGCCGCTTGGAGAAACGGGAGGAGCAGAACGAGCTAGAATGGAAAAGAAATGTGTGAAATTGACGTTTACTATTTGCTTTACCCACTTTTAAAAAAATATTTGCACGCATGTCTGTTTAGCGTGAAGGTCTAGTTTCTTGTGATCTAGGGTACATCTTTTGCCAATCCGTTTTATAGGAGTCTAGATTTAGCAGTGGGTGTGGTTTGCTTACTTAAAGATAGAGATAAGCATGATAAGTGCTGAAGGTCCGGACCGGACCCCAAATTAATTGGGGCGCCATAAAGCATATTCGGCAGTGCTGTCAAAAGTGGTAAAAATGTGATGTCTTCCTAGATCGCGGACCATTCGTGAAAGAACAGTAAAGACGAAAAGATGTACAAGTGCGTGGTTCTGGTGAGTATTTTCAGGGTGGTGTGGTCCTAATTAGGATTGTTTACTTGTTCTGTCTCATCATTTAGTTGATCCTCGTGACGCTGCAGGGGAGTGTGATCTGGTCTGCCTGCGATGTGTGCCAGTCGAATGGGGCCGCTTGCATTAATCAGACCTCGTACAACCTATGCTTTGGCAGCAGCATGCCCAATACCGCACAGAACTTCACGTGCACGGATGGCCTGGTCTGCACAGATCAGCCAATTATTTGCTTCCAGCGCAGCGAGACTCCGGCCAGCTGCGGCGACACCGATAGCTGCGGCCAGTGTGCCCCCAATTACGTTTTTGCTTGCACTTCCCGTTCCACGTTCGCCTTCTGTTTCGGCTCTACCAAGCCAACGAACGTTACAGGCAGCTGCCCCGCCGGCTACTTCTGCGATGCATCTACTCAGGAGATTTGCGTAATCAAGACCACAGATGATTCTATCATATGCCATTTGGACGAACCCAGCGTAGTCTAGTAATTAATTTTATAGTTATTAATGGTAAAATAAAAGGATTATACGCTTAATACGGCTACAACTCGAGCGAGTGATCGACATTTTCCGGTTCTTTGCTATCAAGCCAGGAACGTGCAATCCGCAGCGAGGGCAATCGAAAACGCCACTCCTCGCAGCAATGCTCGTAGATACTTTCGCCCAGCTGCAGCAGTTCTACGACGAAGCGCCGCTCGTCATCTTTCCAGTTACGATCCTCGGCACCACCGAACATTTCCATGCGCACCAGAGCGGCCACAGTGGGCCCCAGATATTTCTTTATGCCATTGTATAGCTGCGGCTTGGTCATGCTTGTCAAAGTGCTGGACGGAGGAGCTCTACTGGTAGATGGTATGGACGCCTGCAGTTGCTTTAATTGGACATTCTGCTCCGAAAGCTTTTCAAACTCCAACTTTAGCTTATTATATTCCAGCTGGAGTTGGCATTCCTCTGCAGTTGGTAGCGTTTCGATATCTGATTCAGGAACGGAAGGTTCTTCTTCTCGTATAGCCATTTCCTGACTTTGCCCTGAGCGAATCGAGGGTTCCTGAATTGTTGGGCGTGCACTGATTTTACTTATAATTGGCTTGCAAATCTCCGCTTTTTGCTTCTGCAATGCATTGCGAGGAAAGTCGATCATTCTTGGTGACATTTTAGTATTGGTTTGATGCTGCTCCTGCTCCTGCTCCTGCTGTACCTTAGTCAAATTCAATTTCCGCCTTTTGAATGCCTTCTCTGGCAAGCTTGAAGAGGGTCGCTTATATACCAATCGCTCCAAGCTAATTTCACCTTCTATAGCATCGGTATCAAATCCAAGAGGACACTCAAATCCCTCTGGTGGTTTAAGATGTGCGGAGGTGGGAGAAGGCAATTTCACAAGCATCGCCTCGCCGTTCTCGTCGATAGATTCAAAGTCCCACGCGAGATCCTTGTTCACTCGCATCAACGTCGGCGTCTGCTTGGCAATAAGCCGGTCCATTTTATAGTTCATGAAGCATTCAATGCGAAAATGACGTGCACACACAGCACGATTGGCCAGCTTAAGCTGAGATACTTTTAAAATCTCTTCATTGGCGCAAATTTTTAGCCATTTTTCCAATTGTCGCGGGTCGCGTACGGGAAACTTGAAGAAGTGCATCGATGGATTCCGGTTTGAAGAGACTTTGCAATCTCGAAAAGTGCAACGAGTGCCACCCATTATACATTTGGAATGGCTTACAAATACAAATTTATAAAATGTTTGTAATAAATAAATATTTGTTTATATCATTAGTGTTGGTTAGTAGTGTGACCGCGGATTTATCGATAAAATATACCGTCCGACCCTCAGAAATATAACTAAACATACCGCCTCATTTTCAAAATATACCGTAAATATACTGACGAATTCAAGGTCTATTTTACATATTACTAGCTATATAGAACATTTAGCCATGCCCACATAATTTTATACGATTGATGAATCAATTTCCTACTTGATTGGCCTATTCGAAATAATTGTCTTAATAATATACTAATCACTAACATCACTATCGTCACTAACGATGTCGCTGGGATTTTTTAACAGAATTTCAGTGTTCGGTTCAAAATTCTCGCAACCGTTGTTCTTCCTTAGACCTTGTCTCACATATAAAAGATTTGAAACATGTATATTCTTAAATCTATTTCTTGTATTTGTTTTTATTAAGTTCACTTCGGAGAAAATTCTTTCACATGATGCATTCGAAACTGGCAATATAAGCAGTACTTGCGCAAATTTTGAAATTTTTTCATATTTGAATTCATTGTTGAAATCTTTTATTTGTCCCAATGTATACCAGAAATGGCCAGGACTTATGTGTGTGTTTTAATAAACTAAAAAGAACCTCATCATTTTTTAAGAGGACAAATTAACTATCGATTCCCTGCGGATCTTTAAAAGGTTGAGGAAATCTTTTATACAGGTCATGCAAATTGGCCATTGACTATGTCTTCAGGGTTTAGGAATGAGAGAAGTTTAAAAACCTTCTCGTTAAAAGGCAACCTTTTCTTAAATTGTACACTCAACTCGATCAAAAATGACTGTGCTCTTTGGAAAAATGCATATTTTTCATTTCTTTCTAATTTTGACACTTCGAGGCTTACATAAATGCCCAAATTCATTTTTTGGAATTCTACGAAATTAACATTGCTGCTTGGATCTAGTAAATTTAAGTCAGTATTATTCTTTCAAATAACAGCTTAATATTAACTTATAAGTTTCAGACATATTTTTATGTGTGTAAGCTGTAAGCTTTGCTAGACTGAAAAATTATATGAAATCTATTTATAGGTAAAATATAATCTAGAAAGTAGAAATATAATTTGACTGAAACGCTTTTTAAATTTGAGAGAGTGTATTCTGCAGATAAGTTTTCACCATCTTAAATATACCGTAATATACAGAAAAATTGCTTAATTTACCGAAATATATCGATATACCGTAAATAGACCGTCGGCTCATTTTGAACCCCTAAAAATACCGAAAAGTATTAAAAATACCGTAAACGGTCACCCTGTTGGTTAGGGACAAATGTTGTCCAAACTATCGAGCAAAATTAATCGAGTTGGCAGCACGATTTTGTGATATGGCGGTGAGCTCAAAATACACATTTTTATTTTGAATTCGCCGTTTGAAATTTTCAAAAAATTGTTTGAATGCAGTTTGGCTCATCACATTTGCTATAACATTTATTTAATAGCATTTATTTATTTTAATATAAATAATATGTACTACTATTAATATAAATTTAAATTCTCCCATTATGGGAGGTGGCACTTGGCAAACGTTCAACCACATGGGCACGGATTGACTAACATTTTACCAATATCAAGCCTTTGGAAAAATGTAAGAAATATTTAACGTATATTGGCCCCATTATAGTCGCCGTTTTATATCTATTTAAACGAGACAATTGACTGTTTTCTTACATAATAATATATATAAAACCATTTGGGCTTCAATGCCATTTATCAGGAAACAGGCTAGAAAATTTAATTTCAATTTCAAATAGAGAAAATAGAGGCAGATATAAGCGGTTTGACAGCAAAATGCAAGTATAACTAAACAAAATTGACTAAAATAAAATAAAAAAAATTAAGTAAATAAAATTATATACTTTCTATATATATATATACTATACTATACTATACTATATACTTTCATTATGTATCGATGGATTTTTACCATATTATTATTATTTCTAGCCACGTTGCAACTCTATGTCAGTACCGGAAATAGCAGCCCTGGAGTCTCTTAGCCTCTAGAAACGGCTAGAACATTCTACGCTTGTGGTTGGTTTTCATTAAAAGCAGGCGTCTTTTATATACTTCACGGTATATAGCTATATAATGGTATACTTCATCAATATCATCAATCTATGAATTTTAATTTTTAAGAGTATATAAATTAACATAGGGTATATAGATCTCAATACCCAAGTATTTGAATTTTCCATCTCTCATCGGGGGTAATTCATGAACCGGTTCCAGCCGAAAAATGAATGAAATTCATGAGAGATTATTTTTTCGGGATTGCTTGCCATATAAAAATACATTTCGGAAAAACAAAATGTACTACATTTTTGTCATCTCAGGGTGCTCCAATTAATTATGAATGCTACGAAACTACAAAGCAGCTTGGAAATCCGAATTTTAACAATAATTAAAGGAAATAGGGTATAGCGTATATAGGGTATCATAGCTGAAACGGGTATACCAACAATAATGACGCAGCACTTACGTTTCACTCCGTACTCACTTACGATTTATGCTTATAATTTTTGTTCACCTCTTTTACTTAAACCTCACTTTAAACACAATCAAATAAATGGGAGTATTTATGTATATTTCTAAGATTACGGCGGTATTGTTCTGCGGTCTGCGGTCACACTGGTTTTCAGCCTCGGTGCAACTCTGTGCCAGTACCGGAAATAGCAGCCCTGGATTCTCGTAGCCTCTAGAAACGTCTAGAAAATTCTACGCTTGGGGTTGGTTTGCTATAAAAGCAGGCGGGCCGACTGTTGCCGGCTCGAGTCTTGAAAAATTTTTGTCCAGTGAAGGTGCGTTTGCTTAGAGCGCAGTGCAACAAAGTGAATTTATTCTACACAAATCGAAGTGAAAATATATATATATTTTTATCTCTGCTGTTAAATTAAAACACATACAAGGTAAGCGTTAACAATGGAAGTGCATTTATTTAACAAAATGTAAAGATCTGCTGTGGTGCAATGCTTGCTGCGCGTCTGCTGATGAAAAGTTCTTGACCCAAATGCAGAAAATCAATAGAATCTGTGAAATCTTCTATAATCTTAAAATTAGATTAAAGTTCTATTTTTTTGCCCGAGTTTGTAACCACGGGCGATAAAAAGTAGCTTTACGCCTCGCACACCAATACACGAACAGAAAAATTATGCCGGCTGTAATATGTGCTCGGCGCGAAATTTCTAGATGACCGGTTCTTAGAACATCAACCTTGCATGTCCAACAAATGCTGGTTAATTAAAGACGTGCCTTAACTTAATTTTCTTGGCACACGTGCTTATTTGAATTCAGTCTTTTGCACTTGTCATGCACACAGACACACATATGTCTGTGAATTTGCGAATGTATGTTCCATCATCGAGAAAAATCGTGAATCAAACTTCGGCATGAATCAAATTTCAAAGAGGTCTTTGTTTCCACCTGGTTCTAGAAGTTTCCTTTCGCGTGCTTGGATACCTATCTTATGCATAAACGGCTTCTGCACATGTAACTTGAACACATACACACATGCAAACATATGTATGTACATATGCATACCCTGACCACAAAATTTTCAGCAAACTTTAGCCGTACATCAAACCACCAAAGAGCTGTGCTGTTGTCAAGGAGAATTTTCTTCTAGAAAGCTTCAATTAGATTGTTTATCTGGGGGTGATGTACGCATTGGACAACCCTATGCGCTCTAGAAACTTCCAGTAAATGTTAACTGGATGTACAATGGGTACATCCCTAAGCGTGCGAGTGTATGCGTGTTCGCTAACTGTAATGTATGTGTGTTCGTGTGCGAAAGAGAAAAGGATGAGAAGTCTGCCATTTTGAAATAAAAAGATTTTGTGCTAGGGAAGTGGGGAAATATGATTATCGAAAATGGGCAGTGAACAATGCAGCTGCATATTTAATGAGTTGTGACTAATTCTCGTGTGGTATTTTCTTGCTCTTCCAGATGCCCGAAGAAGCTGAGACTTTCGCATTCCAGGCTGAGATTGCTCAGCTTATGTCGTTGATCATCAACACGTTCTACTCGAACAAGGAGATCTTCTTGCGTGAATTGATTTCGAACGCATCTGATGCCCTCGACAAGATCCGCTATGAGTCGCTGACTGATCCCAGCAAGCTCGACTCGGGCAAGGAGCTGTACATCAAGCTGATTCCCAACAAGACTGCTGGTACTCTGACCATCATTGATACCGGTATCGGCATGACCAAGTCCGACCTGGTGAACAACTTGGGAACCATCGCCAAGTCCGGCACCAAGGCTTTCATGGAGGCGTTGCAGGCTGGCGCTGACATTTCCATGATTGGCCAGTTCGGTGTGGGTTTCTACTCGGCCTACCTGATTGCTGACCGCGTGACTGTCACCTCGAAGAACAACGATGATGAGCAGTACGTTTGGGAGTCGTCCGCTGGCGGTTCGTTTACCGTGAAGGCCGACAACTCTGAGCCCCTGGGTCGCGGCACAAAGATTGTGCTCTACATCAAGGAGGATCAGACCGATTACCTTGAGGAGAGTAAGATCAAGGAGATCGTTAACAAGCACTCCCAGTTCATTGGGTATCCCATTAAACTGCTGGTGGAGAAGGAGCGCGAGAAGGAGGTCAGCGACGACGAGGCTGATGATGAGAAGAAGGATGACGAGGCAAAGAAGGACATGGATACCGACGAGCCCAAGATCGAAGATGTCGGCGAGGATGAGGATGCCGACAAGAAGGACAAGGATGGCAAGAAGAAGAAGACCATTAAGGAGAAGTACACCGAAGACGAGGAGCTGAACAAGACCAAGCCAATTTGGACCCGCAACCCCGATGATATCTCCCAGGAGGAGTACGGCGAGTTCTACAAGTCCTTGACCAACGACTGGGAGGATCATCTGTGTGTGAAGCACTTCTCAGTCGAGGGTCAGCTGGAGTTCCGCGCCCTCCTCTTTATCCCCCGTCGCACTCCCTTCGATCTCTTCGAGAACCAGAAGAAGCGCAACAATATTAAGCTGTACGTGCGCCGTGTGTTCATCATGGACAACTGCGAGGATCTCATTCCCGAGTACTTGAACTTCATCAAGGGAGTGGTCGACTCTGAGGATCTGCCTCTGAACATCTCTCGTGAGATGTTGCAGCAGAACAAGGTTCTGAAGGTGATCCGCAAGAATTTGGTGAAGAAGACCATGGAGCTGATCGAGGAGCTTACCGAGGACAAGGAGAACTACAAGAAATTCTACGAACAGTTCAGCAAGAACTTGAAACTGGGTGTCCACGAGGACAGCAACAATCGCGCCAAGCTCGCCGATTTCCTGCGCTTCCACACATCTGCCTCTGGCGATGATTTCTGCTCTTTGTCGGACTACGTGTCCCGCATGAAGGAGAATCAGAAGCACGTCTACTTCATCACTGGCGAGTCCAAGGACCAGGTCAGCAACTCTGCCTTCGTTGAGCGTGTGAAGGCCCGCGGCTTCGAGGTTGTCTACATGACCGAGCCCATTGATGAGTATGTCATCCAGCACTTGAAGGAGTACAAGGGCAAGCAGCTGGTGTCCGTCACCAAAGAAGGTCTGGAGCTGCCCGAGGATGAAGCCGAGAAGAAGAAGCGTGAGGAAGATAAGGCCAAGTTCGAGGGTCTCTGCAAGCTGATGAAGTCTATCTTGGACAGCAAAGTGGAGAAGGTGGTCGTCTCCAACCGTCTCGTGGACTCGCCCTGCTGCATCGTCACCTCGCAGTTCGGCTGGTCCGCCAACATGGAGCGTATCATGAAGGCCCAGGCTCTGCGCGACACCGCCACCATGGGCTACATGGCTGGCAAGAAGCAGTTGGAAATCAATCCCGACCATCCCATTGTTGAGGCCCTGCGCCAGAAGGCCGATGCCGACAAGAACGACAAGGCTGTCAAGGATCTGGTCATCCTTCTGTTCGAGACCTCGCTGCTGTCTTCCGGATTCTCTCTGGACAGCCCCCAGGTTCATGCCAGTCGCATTTACCGCATGATCAAGCTGGGTCTTGGCATCGATGAGGATGAGCCCATGACCACCGAGGACGCCCACAGTGGTGGAGATGCCCCCGGTCTGGTCGAGGACACCGAGGATGCCTCCCACATGGAGGAAGTCGATTAAACTATCAGCTTTCTCAAACAAAACACACATTCACACACCCACAAAAAATGTTTTAAGTTTCGACTGTTTGTAGCTTACATTGACACAGGAGATAACTTTTTTTTCCATTAACATTTTTGTCGCGTTATATGCGACAATTATACGCTTAGTCATCCCACACTCGCATACAGAACAGAATCCGCCAGGTTCCTGGAAACTAACTTCAGAAGCAGTCGTTTTAAGAATTTCTAATTTAGAGTCCACATAATTTATGTAAAAATAAACTAAAGACTACACGCTCTAGCTTCTAGAATTGAAATTTATGTCTTAAGGTTTGATGACCAGATCGATCGATGATAAAACCAAATAAACAAACAAATTGTGTTTTCAAATGCATATCTATGAACATTTTTATTGGATCGAATTTGTTAAAAACTAACTGGGAGGGGAGAGGCCTTACGATTCATATTCCTTGCGCAGCAGCTGCTGAATGGACTCCACCGTCGATGCACCCTTGCTGATCAGTATGATCTTGTTGCGGGACCGCGATCCCTTGTCCAGGGAGACATCGCTCTTGCGCAGCCCCAGGACCTTGGAAAGAAATTTCACCAGCTCTGCATTGGCTTCTCCTTCACTGGGCGGTGCGGCTATTTGGACGCCAACGCCTTCAAGATCAATGTTCGTAATGCCATTGTGCTTGGCTCCAGGTTTTGCAAGTATTTTAATGCATATATTGCCACTTTTATCCACGGTGACTGGGCTGTCGTTTGCCGGCGCCGGCTTTGTGTTTGTATTTTCTACGCCGGACTTTGCTTTTCCCTTATTCTTTGACATTATTTGTGCATTGACTGATGCAAATAAACGCCGCATTGGCTAATCAATAGGGTTTCCTCACAATATTTAATTTTAAACGCATTTTTTCCAAACTGTGTCGTCGTCGGCGACAGCAATCAGCTGTTTATGTTTCTACCTAGAGATGGACCATTTCTACAAAACTGTGACTTCTCACAAGTATTTTAAATGGTGTAGTCACAGAAAAGCTAGACACTTTAAAATGATTTTTATATAGCTGGTCTTGGTGTGAGAATAGAAAACAAGGGACAGATGTTATTAAAAAAATTAAGGAAAAATAAAAAAAGATAAAATCGATTACAAAAATTTCCACGGCGTTTCGAACAAATGGTGTCAAACAGCGATACCACACAACATATAGAATATATTGTATAAATTACATAAACCATAGCTCACATAGATACTGACTAAGTACCAGGTATACCAGTAGAGCCGCGCCTTTTCCGCGGCTTACAACTTTCCCCCTCGTTTAAATTATATTAATAAAATAGGAATATTTTGAATAGCTGTCACAGTTAGTTGCGAAATCCAACCCCTAGAATCCTAGAAAAAAAATTTAAACTGAAAAATAAAGATTAAATTGTAGCCTATAAACAATAAAAAATTTAATTAGGTAATTTCGCTTCTACAGAATTACAATCTCATCCCCATTCAATAATAAAGTCAGAGTCCTTAGGTAAAAAATTATCATATATTATTCATCATTATGTATGTACTCTTAGTTACTTCTCCTTTAGTTTTCGCTTTGGAAAACAACGCTTAAACACTTTGCACTATTTAAAACTGCATTGAGAAGCATCTTAGAAATGCATTCTATCGTCAATAAAATTGTGACTGCCACCAACACAATCAGCAATAGTTCAGTTAATTCGTAAGTGTACAGAGAGAATTGCAGGAATGCACATAATTTTCAGTTTTTTTTAGGCTTAAAATTAATACAAAATGCGTAAAATGGACTTGAATTTTGCCTCTGTTGACAGAGTTTCATATTGCAAACCTAAAATGAACTGGAAAGCAAAGTTTTTGAGGCTCATCCTCAGCGGACGTTGCACATATTGCCGGGGATAGTTAAAATTCAGCTATTAAAGGATTTTTGGGAAGGATATAGAATTTAGATCCGGAGTTACAGAAAGAAGTATCTTCAGTTGTTTATTGCTACAGTCCGTCATCTGGAACCATTTACGCAGCGCGAATCGACTGAATGATTTGGAAAATAGCCGAGCCGCAGACAACGAAGATGAACAGCGCCAAGAGCCAGGGTCCAACGGGGTACTGTCCCTCTTTCGCTTTCTGAAAATGCCAATATATCAAAATTAGCCAAGGCACCACAGATATGCATATTATTGAACGGCCGGTGTATGAGTTAACGCTGACGAACGCAACAGCTAATCACTGCTCCCGAAGAAGCGATAGCATACACCAGCTTCTTCCCCACACACAGACACGCACACGCACACATTGGCGCACGAACACAACAGCAAGCAATAATAAAATCAATGACGGCGTGGCACTTTTTGCGATTGACTCTATCAGGCTCGTGCGAGATGTATGCATTTTTGATGCGAGCTATTCTCATTTTAAAGAAAAACTTACCGAGGATTTTGGTACATTGCCACGCATTGTCACATATTTGCTGGCCTTCTCGTTGGCGACGCGCATTCTCTGTGGAGGAGCCATTTTATGTGTTGTTGTGAAGCTCTGTGAAATAGAGAGAGATGCATTATATACTTAGTTTTCAATAAATTGAATTTTAGAGACTTGACTGAGACTCTTTCTGTCGCACTTAAAATTCCTTTGTTCACTCGTTCAGGCTACGATTTTAAATGAAGTCTGTTCTGATTTTTATAATATTTCTCCAAGCAGCCCAGCCTACCTTTCAGCCCAAAAATAAAACGAATGTGAAAGCGAACGACGCGACACGTATGAAGAACCCACTGACAGCTCGGTGACAGCCAGGGATGTCATTCGTAGGTGTAATCGGTGGTGGTTGCCTGGTTATCGACAATCGTTTCACGTCCAGCTGATTTCTGGGGCGGCTATTATTTACACTTTTTTGCATAAAAACCGTGAAACAAATTGGAGCCCTAAGGCCGGGACGTAGCAAGGTGTCCTGAAAGTACATGTTACCAGTGTCATAAGTCGGTGCGACACGTGAAGTTCCCAATAACTGTAATTCGCGACCAGCCTTGGGACAGGCAGGGCAGCAAACTACAATCACACAAACACAAAACTATGACGATTGATGCCACCGCTCTGCCGTCGGAGTTGCTCGTGACCCCTCAGCCACTGATTGGCTTCTGCGGCCTGGACACTGCGCGGCAGGGCGTGCACAAGGCCATCTGGGATGGGTTTAGCGGGAGTCTGCAACGGAAGGCGGCGGATCGCGCTGCGGTCCAATACAAGTTGCTACCTCCGAACTATGAGTTTCCAGTGGCCAAGCCCAAGAGGGCCTCCTACGAGTGGTACCATCCCAAGGGCATACTGAAGCGGAACTGGATGCTAAAGCACCTGCATGTACTGCCCTCTGTGGTGGTCCTGTTCCAGGACATGGAGTGGAACGATTTAGAATGGACGGAGAAACAGGTGCAGTGTGCGGCCACTGTGCAGGCCCTAAAGAATGCTCTCCAAGAGCGAAATACTCGTCTGTGCCTAGTGCTTCTGCAGAAGGCAGCACCGCTACCTCCTGGCGAGGATTTGCTGGCCGCAGAGCGAGCTGCCAGTTTGACTTCAGCCTGCGGCATAACCAGCAAAATGTTATTCATACTGCCGCATACGGAGCACCTCATGGGCTACACGCTGCGTCTGGAGTCCGCGTTCCTGGACATGGCCCAGTCCTACTACGCCCTGATGTCGAAGAGAATACGCAATCATCGAGACCAGCTGTCGGCGGCGCATACCACCCTCAAGATACGTCACCAGTTCAAGCTCGGCTTTGTGGCGGAGATGCGGCAAGACTTCAGCACCGCCCAGAAGTAAGTATTGTTTTGCTCTTGGTCTTTTCATAAAATTAAATCAAATCCATTATCCCGCAGACACTACTTCCAAGCCTATGCGAATCTGGATGAAATACGCATCAACGATAGCAATTGCGTGGAGATCAAAACGCTGGCCGGGTTTCTCAACTACAAAATCTGTCGTCTCATGTTCAAGCTGAAGACCCCGCGGGATGCCATCAACCAGTTCATTATTCATGTTGAGAAGTACAAGCCCCGCGTGGGTTTCAAGGATTTGGCATTTGAGCACTATGCCTGGCTAAGCACGCAGTAAGACGGATCATTATTCTCATTCTCCCGATAGGTTTGCACAAATTTCATACTTTAAAATTCAAATATTCATTGCAGACATTCTGTGTTCGCCGAGCTGTTCTGTGAGGCCATCAAAAATGGACTGCCCGCTCTTCAGACTCAGCATCCCGGCATCTATTACCACAAGGCAGCCGAGTATGTGATGAAACGACGCGATGCCGCCCAGCAAGCCTTTGCCTCTCTGCTTGACTCGGGCGAGGCAGCACTCACAACAAACAACCCAAACCCTTTGTCCCTGTACACAGAGTTCTTTGGCATCCGGGCCGTGAAAACAGGCGATCTTGTCGCCGAGCAGCAAGCTAATGTGCAGCTGTGCGAACAGGAGCGCGGCTATAGCCATTCGGTGGCCATTATAGCTCTACTCAGCCAGGCCATGGCACAGTTCAAGATCTACAAGTGCCTCAGGTTTCGAAAGAAACTAGCTATTGATATGGCCGAGGAGTATCTACAAAGTGGGGATCATGCCAAGGCATTAACGTGAGTGTTGACATACTAATAGATGGAGATACCTTTATTCGAATGCTGTTTATTGCAGTCTATATTCGCTCATGCTGCCCGATTATCGACAAGAGAAGTGGTCGACTATTTTTACCGACGTCTTGCTGAAGACCTTGCGGTGTGCCCTGCTCTCGGCCTCCGTGGCGGACTACATAGCGTGCAGTATCGAAGCGTTGTCCCTACGCCACCAAAGCGAGCAGAAAGATAGGATTCTGCTACTGGATAACCTCTGGCAGGTCTACCAGGGTGTGCCGCCCATGCCCAGAACTCAATTAACCGAAGACGCTCTGGCCCTGTGGACCAGTGCATTGGCCTGCGTGAAATCTCCCATTCCAATCGATTTCGATAAGGTCAGCGACGTTTTGGAGATGTGCGCCACATTCGAACGAGTCCAATTAAACAACGACGATGTTCTACAGCTGCAGCTCATAATCCGGTAAGTGTTGTCTCTTTACATAAAATGGAAATAATAGTTGAAATAACTCCTGGTTTGATCTCCTCTCTAGTGTGCTCACAGACGTGCCTTTGAGGATTAGGAGCTTCCATGTGGTTCTTGCCGATGCCGGAAACAGCCAAAATAACTACAAACTAGAGGCGCTCAAGTATTTTTGCTTTCCAAATCTCCTGCAGCTGCGTACTCAGCAGCAGAGGCAGCAGCAGCCGCAACAGCAGCAGGAACTTGTGGATCAGCCAAAGGCCTTCGAGAAAAACACGATATTGGAACCAGGCTCGTATTATCAATTCTTCTGCAGTACCGAAGCGCAGCAATTCCACGAAAACACCCAGCTGCGTATTGTCCGCGTGGAGGCTCTTATGGGGACCGATCAAATTGGCGCCCTGCTCACGTGCAGCTCCAATTACACACGCCAACCGTTTCGACACCACACGCGCAGTCGCGATCTCGATGACAACGTGACGATCAATCCGATTTGCTATATTGCGCCCACGTAGGTCAAACCGATTCGTACCGGAAGCTGAAATTGATTTCCGGACGATTGCATGCCACAATCAAGCATTTAATGCACCACTGAACACCGTTTGTTTTCGTTCCAGCTTCCATTTGGTCACGCAAACAAACCTCGGCCATGGGCATGCCAATGGCACAGACGGGGAGCCAGAGGCAGCCACAAGAATGCTGGTCAACGAATACTATCCAGTTGTGATAAACATATGCAATCCCTACAATGTCTACCTCATGAATGTGGGTGTACACATCAGTGTGCCTGGTGCCCTAAGGAACAGCGGTGAGTGCATCTAGGCTGCAAGACTATCCACACTATGAGTCTCTGTTAGACCTTGAATCTGTTCTAGAATGATACATATGTCCGCTTAGGCAGTTTATTGGGTTGGCTTGGCTTGGGTTGGGTTCTTTTACATATTCAATGCCTTATCGATGAAACTTCTAACAGTCTTGACACTCGTATAGACGCCTGGCGAGTTTCGGCGGCCACAGCCTATCCCCCACGAGACGATACCGCACAGTTGGCCCTGGTAGGCGGCTGGTCCGCCCGAATCTCCTTCGCAAGCATCCTTTACGCCAGGCACGGCGGCGCAGAACATCGTATTGGTGATGGTGCCTCGTAGCTTGTATTGGCTCATGCAGCTCTTGCGAGGGATCAGGGCCACGTCCACGCTGCGCACCTGCATGGAGACACTCTTGCTGCGTTCCGAGACTAGTCCCCATCCCGAGACCTTGATCAGCTCGCCGGCGTTCCAGCTGGAGTTGCACAGCTCGATGGTGGCTATCTTGGGCCCGGTCAGAGGTGTCTTCAGCTTTAGCACAGCCACGTCTGTGTGCAGGGTGCGGCTGCTGTACGCCTTGGGAGTATACACCTTGGCCACGTCACTCCTAACGCCTGGCTCCGTGAGTCGCGTGGTGCCAGCCACCACCTGCATCCTAGCTGCTCCGACTCCCTTCACGCAGTGCGCCGCCGTGACCACGTGTGTTGGTGTGACCAGCGAGCCGCCGCAAATGAAGTTTCCGCCAATGCGGAGGTTTATCAGATAGGGGACGGTACCAATATCCACCGGAATACCGCCCACAATACGGCTGTTCGCCTCGTTGGTGGGCACGACAATTGGCAGCAGCCGAAGCAGAAGCAGCAGCAGGAGCAGGTGCAGGTGCAGGTGCAGGAGATGCCAGAGTCCCACTGGCATCTGGTGGCATCGGAGAAGCGTTCCCGCCCAGCGCTTACACACAGAAAATGCGAGTATTTGCGGCTGTGTTTCCGAGCAGCAGCTGCTCACTTGTGCAAACAGCTTCCAGTTCCGACTCGGGGCGCGCGTCTGTTTGCTGTGGCTTATATTTGTATGGCAGTGGGGTATAGATGGGTTCTTTTAGGAAGTCATCGTTACAAAGCTTACACACATATTATTTTATTGCGCAAATAATAATTACTTTAATCAAACCATTTTGTCTGGATTTATCGCGACGAGTTCATCAGCCAAATGGAATTCGAATTTAAATTGAAGCCCGGCTAGAGCTGACTCTTTCTCATATCTCCCACAGTTTTACTGACCTTTTCGGGCGGGGGGATATGAGAATGCAGTTCAATATGGATCATTACTCTGTTGAATCCCCAATGCTAGCTGCCAATCTCCTGCAACGTTCTCTCGATGAAGGAGCGCACACGGACACTGGCCACACTGGTGTAGACTCCAGGGTAGGCCAAGCGGGCGCAGCCAAATCCCCAGGAGACAATGCCGCACACCTGACCGCGATACACGAGCGGACCGCCCGAATCGCCCGAGCACGAGTCCCTGAGGCCGCGCACCGAGGCGCAGATCATGGAATCACTTATCTTGGCCACTCCGGCGTAAGACAGCCGGCACTCTGCTCCGGGCAGCATCCGCACCATGGCCGTACGAACCTGGACGGCGGGTTCGCGGTTGTTCTCGCGCGTCACTCCCCAGCCGCTGATCCTGGCATAGGCATTGCTGTCCGGCGGCATGCGGCAGGCAGCAATGGTGGCCACGCTGCCAGCGGAGAGGGGAACGGACTCTCTCAGTTGCAGCAGGGCCACGTCCATGTCGAAATTGGTGGAAGAGTAGCTGGGCGAAAGGTGAAAGCTGGCCACGCCGCGCACCACGGGCGACGCTTGGTCCAACCGACTGGCACCGGCATGGACCGTGTAGTCCTCGGGCTGAGCCCCATACACGCAGTGGGCCGCACTGAGCACGACGGTGGGCGAGAGAAGGGAGCCGCCGCATAGGAAGAATCCTCCCTGGCGAAGGTACACCAGATACGGCACCTGTGCGATGCTCGTCTCCTTGCCGCCCACAATGCGGGGTCCACTGCGGGCGACAGCCATTGCGGTTTGGATGATGCAGAACAACCACAGCCACTCCATTACGTGCTCGGACTGTGGAGCATCTGATCGCCAGCCTCTGACCCATTTCAACCCACAATCAATCAATTTTTCAAATGATTATTATCGAATTAGTCGACTGCCATACAATGGGTGCAGCAAAGAGATTAACTCTAATTTATTTCGATGGAGATTCCAATAGATTACACCCTGCAATGGCGCTCGAGGAGGTTCTGGAGCCAGTACTTGATGGGAGGGCTACTAAGTCGGGTGTAGACGCCCGGAGAGCCTCTTCCGCATCTATAGCCCCAGGAAACAATGCCTACGGGACGGCCTGCCTGGAGGATGGGTCCACCCGAGTCGCCCACACAGGCGTCTCCGCCATTCTCTCCAAGCGCACAGAACATGTTGTCGGTGATGGGATGCAACATGGTGCGGCGGCACACGTCCTGTGGCACCAGCCCCACGTAAACAGCCTGCAGACATTGGTTCCAGTCTGTTTTATATTCGTTTGTTATGCCCCAGCCTATGACTGTGAATTTCGCTCCCTTTGGCAGTTCGTTGAAGTCAATCTGGGGCAGACTTTCATTGGAAATGTTGAACGGTTGCTGCAGCCTGATCACGGCCACATCTGAGTCCGATTCGTCCTGAGGGGAATAGTGGGGCGACACCATGGAGAACGAGGCGCGGCGCACATCTTCAGCCGCCGACCCATCCCCCAAACACTGCAGCTGGGCGTGCACTGTCACGTCGTAGACGTGGCGACGGTTCTGCAGGCAATGGGCTGCCGTGACCACGCAGCTTGGTGTAGCCAGAAAACCGCCGCATCTGAAGCGACCGCCCCGCCGCAAGTTCACCAGAAAAGGATACGCCCCGATGGGAGCGTCGTGGCCTCCATAGATTTTGATCAGCTGCGGCAAAGAGAGTCCGTGAAGCTGCCCGAGGAGGGCCAAGCAGGCCAGTAGTCGGAACATTTTCATGTGCGGATTATCGAGCCGCAGCTTTTATGCGGTCCCAGCATTCTGATAGCGTTCTGCCAGCGGCTGCCGCATTCCGCAGTAAATTGAATGTCGATGGAGTTTGATAAAACTAAAGAAGTTTATTGGCTATTAAGACTACCAAGGGAGAAGGGCACTCAGGAATTCAGCTTCACGGTGTTCAGGAACCACTCCCGGATCTCGGGCACGCTGGTGTAGACGCCGGGCAGCGCCGAGGCGCAGCCGTAACCGAACGACACTATGCCCGCCAGTTGGCCTTTGAAGACGAGCGGACCCCCGGAGTCGCCATCGCACGAGTCTCGCCTATAGGGCTTCGAGGCGCACATCATTGATCGGGTGATGCCATGGATGCCTTTGAAGGTGGACAGACAGGAGGACCGCGACCACACGGGCAACAGAACACTGTGCACCCGTTGGGCCGTGCTGGAGGAGGTGGCACTGGTGGAGCCCCAGCCGGACACCTTGACTATCGCTCGGGGCGGAACGGGCTGTGAGGCCAGTGCAATGGTCTCGATGTTGGCGCCCACCATCGCCGATTGCAGCCGCAGGGCGGCCACGTCCATGTTGAGGGTCTTCATGCTGAAGTCCGGACGAATGGCAACAAAGTCCACCAGGCGGATGGTGGCATAGGGACCTGCCTGGTTCGACGCCCCGCCATAGATCTTCAGTTCGTCCTTGTTCTTTCTGTACACGCAGTGGGCCGCCGTGATGACCCACCTGGGTTGAATCAGCGAGCCCCCACACATCTCTGTTGAGGTCGTGACCTGCACGAGGTACTTTTCTTCCTTAATGCTGGATACCTGGCCCCCAATGATGCGGGGTTGGATCTGCATACTGTCGGAACTGTCGGTAGAAACCACCTGTAATCCTAGGACTCCCAGGATAGGCAGTATAAGAAGCATCATTGAAACCAGGCAGCGGACAAACATTGTGGATAAGCAACTAACACTTGGGGATGCTGGAAGATCGGCTTTTATATCACAGCAACCAAATCAAATCTGCCGAAACGACAGATCAACATTTGCACAATTGTTCAAGCAACAACTTGTCGATTCGGAAGAGCTCGGAAGAGTGTGAGAGCGGAAGTCCAACCGTGCCAACCACACTCACAACAAAATTCTCAAAGATCTGGATCTGATTGATTAATCTACTTGTACCTTAAATATTTGTGGTCTATAAATACCATTCAACAGAATTATGATGTGCAAAGAAGGAAGCACTTGCCGACATTATTCCAAACGCACACATTTCTGTAAATGCGATAGAGAGAGGCAAAAACTAATTTTGTATTGAATCAGCATCGTCAAAGATTTAGCCATGTCCGACTGTCTGTCTAGCCGAATCAACCAAAGGATGTTTGAGAGATTCAGAGCTAAGGATGCATGTATTTGAAGAGTCTTATACTATCATTTCAACGCATACCAAGTTAAGTTAAGGAAAGACACTCGCTATTAGCCAATTCAGTTTTTAACTACTGCGTTATGGTCAAAAAGCCAGATGTCTCCGTGATCCCTCTGAAATTTTCTCGCACTTGTGATTAGAGACAAGAAAAACATGACCAGAAAAAGAGTATGCTCTAATTTTAATTGTTGCATTCCGTTTATTCTCTTTCCACATAAACGAACTATTTTATTAGAATTTGAAAATATTTCCGCTACATCATCTTCTATCTCTCTTCTCATACCAACACCAGCTATGTTGCTTTCTCGCTTCCTTTCGCCTGTGGGCGCACACTGCACGAGGAAGAGCGTGAAGAGAGAGAGGGAAAGAGAGAGAAAGAGTAAGCGCACTTGTTCCTTCTGGCTATAATTATGATCCGATCTGAACCGGAGACTGTCCAGTCTGGTAGATATATAGTCAGTCTCTATGATTCTGCGCTTTCTCATATCTGTGGATTGTGTATGCAACAGATGATTATCTTCCTTTGGGAAGGGTGGGCGGGTGGGCAGTAGGGGGCTAGACGAAATTTTGAAATGCTCTCGTAACAGGGTGATATCACAGGAGTCTGCACACAAAATTTGGTTGCTTAATCTCGTATGGTCTCTGAGATCTAGTCGGAGCCGGACTGATCAAGAATATATATTTTTTATGGGGTCGGAAACGGGTTCTTTTGAAACCCATCCCACTTCTATAAAAAATCGAATAGACTAACAACTTGGCAGATACAAAAAAACCATAAATATTCTGATAAAATAAGCACACAAGCATTATTTTGTATACATGTACGAATACTTTCCAAGTTTACAATTTTATTTCACTTTAAAAGACAGAACTTCCAATATTCGCGAGTAATTTGCGCTTTTCAATCAGGTGGCTTTACAATAAATAATAGAAATATAAAATATTATAATTAGGCCAAAATATCGGGCTTTTTTGCCATAATGCGCTATAAAACATATTTATGTTTGTGATCTGCATGTCAGGAAGACCAATAACTGGCTGTGCTGCTGAGAAAATGGTACGTATGATAAAGTGTCTTCCGTTTTTGTGGAGATCTGAAGCGAGTGTACAGCAGTGTTAGCACACGTGTGCCATATAATCGTACAAAAATCAATATTATCGCTAGCTTCGAGCTGTCACAGTTAGGAATTCGCTAGACCTTCACTTCGCGAAGTTATATTAAAAAAAAAGCCTATATTTAGTTGGACTTCTGTACGAGCCCAAGGCGAGAAGTCTTTGTTTAAGCCAGTTGTTGGTTCTAGGCTGTTATTAGTCAGGTGATATTTGACGTGTTCCGTCTTTGAATTCCATTTTCCTATCTAAGCACACAAGAGTGTGCTAGAGTAGTGTTGTTTTTAACTGGATTTATTTATGGATTAAGCAAAACAGCCCTGTCTTGTGGGCTTATTATTGTAGGTCGTAGGTTCAGTGACTCTCAGGGTTTAAGATCCTAATTGTTCGACATTATGCGGTTGGCCCACGTTCGAATCCTGGCCACTGCTGTGTACACGCCGGGATATCCGGACCTGGCGCAGCCATAGCCAAACGATACAATGCCCAGCAGCGTTGAATCTCTGGTTACTGCACCGCCGGAGTCGCCGCTGCATGAATCCTTCTTCTTGCCGCGGGCGCAGAACATATATTTGGTGATGGTGGCCAATCTACCGTAGTCCTGGCTGCAAACACGCTGCCTGACCACCGTGATCTGCGTGGCCCGCAGCGTCCGGGAAGTGCTGCCGCCTTCACTGGTCAGACCCCAGCCCGCGATGCGCACTCTGGAGCCCGCTTTGGGCACGAAGGACCCCATCGAGATGGTGGCAATGTTGGTGCCTGTCATGGTTTCGTTCAGCTTCAGCAGTGAGGCGTCCATGTTCATTTTCGTGGTAGTAAAACGGGGTGCCACGGCCGTAAAGACCACGGAGCGCACCACGCCATCGCTGCCGTCTAGAGTGGTGGTTCCTCCGCGCACCAAAAACGACGAGGCAGTTTGCCCCTTCACACAGTGTCCGGCGCTGAGAACCCAAAGGGTGGATATCAAAGAGCCGCCGCACAGGCTGGTTCCGCGACGCACCTGCACTAGGTATGGGGCCGTGCTAATGGTCGTCGTAGTGCCACCGACAATCTTCGACTGGATCTTGGCGGGTGTCGCTGTCTTTGATGCCTTGCTCGGGGAGGTCTTCTTTGCGACAGAGGTGCCTCTTCTCACAGCTGCTCTGCTTCGGGCGGTCTTGGCCACAGCTTGACTCCTATTCGTTGCCAGTTTGCGGACGTTTCCGTTCCTCAATCTCCTTCTTGCCCGGTTGGCCTGCGCCGCCTCGGTCATCTGGGCCAGCACGGCCAGCAGCAGCACAGCTAAGATCAGGTACTCCCAGCGGCAACGCATCTCGATGTGAACTGTTCTGGCGGTGACCTTGCCCCGGCTTTTATCTCTTCGCATTTTGCCGAAAAACAAGCTGTGACACGACACCTGTGCAAATACTGCTCCCCCAATAGGAGGGCGGGTATCAATGGTTCTTGTTCTTGAGATGATGTTTGATGGAAGGTGACGTCGATGCGCGAAGACCCGTCAG